ATTGGTTGAAATGAAAAAGTTAATGTCACGAGCGGGATTCGAACCCACGACCCTCGGCTCAATACGCCGCTGCTCTAACCACTTCAATGTCGTGATAGCTCAAGTTGGGCCGAAGGCGTGGGTTCGAATCCCGCTCGTGGCACTAACTTTTTCATTTCAACCAATATCTTACACGAAAAGATTAATTAATTGTGAAAATAACGTTCAGATCCGTCACGTGGCAACTAGTTTTTACTCCTTCCGGCCCGACGAAGAAATACCTCGATACAACAAGAACAATTTCAGAGCCGGACAAAAATCTAAGGATCCGTTTCCCTTTTCTGTATCGAGACTGAAAGAGGGGAAAGTGAAAGCTGTGCGCAAAGGGAAAACAATTTCTGGACTTGGTTAGCTAACGAAAGGCTTTCTAAAAAATGCCTCGAAGCCACGTAAGTCTCAGTCTACACAAAGGATTTTTACAAAATCAAATAATAAAGAGATATTGTTGCTATTTTGCAACGTTGTATTTAGAAAGAAATGTATAAAATTTAATATTTAATATTACAAACGCGTCAGCATATGGTCATGCCTTTTATTACCTAAATGTCAAGAAAACTACGTTGAAAATGGTAAATTTCCAAGCGTAAACAAGTTCCTGAAATAAGCCATGTGGGCTTGATTAAATTACTAGAGTAAGAACGTTAAGTAGTGTATAATTAGGTCTTTATTGAGACATTCATAAACGAGAAAGTTCTAAAAGCTAAGTTTCTAACTAGGTTCTCTCTCTTTCAATTCCTTTTTCTTTTTTGTTTTCTTTTTTCAAAATAAATCTTACTATTTTAAGTTATTCAAAGGTTTCAAAACAGTTCGGTTCTGAGTTTTTCAACTGTTCATAAAAATAATTAAATATCAGTTCCTCTCGTGCCGAAATCGCTCGGTGAACGACTGTATTAAAAGGTCTCGACCAGGTGGATGTCTTTTCATTATGCACTTAAAAACAAGCTATCTTCTTAAACCGAACAGGATCGATGACAACGTCGACGAAATTCCAATCAAGAGAACGGAAGAGAGATCTAACCGCTGACAAGCCCGTCAACTCCGGAACTTGTATTTATTCAACAATTTCTAATCAATTTCGACTCGGCTTAAGTACTTAAGTAAACATTGAGCTGAAAAGGTTATGCAAGACTTAACATAGTCAACTTGTACATGAATCTTTCTTTTAAAAATATATTTATTTTTACAAGTCTGTTTCGCGTCAACTTGACAATTGTAAAACCATCTTGTACTTTTTGGGTCAATATATACTTTAGTATGTGTGAAAATCCGAGAAGAATATAAAAGAAATAAGATGTTTCCTTTTAACACAGGCATAAAGTTTCTGGCCACGTCGTACTTTATACCTCAAAGTTCTTTGTAATTCCTAGTAATATTAACATGACGTGAATAAGTATGTAAGTCGAATTACCTCGACTTTGAATCGCCTGATTCTTCCTCGTCAGCGAACTTGCGGAAACTACGGAAGCCTGAAAATATCATGAAACGAAATCTAACCAGAAAGGATAAGGAGTTGGAATAAACCGCTCAAGTAAAAATAAACCTTATGGTCCACCTACTCATAAATAAGTTCAAGCACGTTCAATGGGCAAATTGACGTTCTACTTCGACTTCTGCCTAAGTCACCTAACCTTAAGACAACAAAGTTAACAAGGCATACTCAGTCCTGACTGATTTAAGCTTGCAATTTACGAATAAGCAACAGTTATTAGAAATGTCTGTGAATAAACAGCTAAATACCTTGGCTCATGCCATAATTCCTCTAACTGTCCCTTAGCTGGGCCACAAGGTACTAAACCCAGCTTTTATTTAGGCATACACTTTTTAATTGTTTAATATTTTATATGTTTAAGGCCACCAAGAGAACTGACATCATCAGCTGATATTAGTGCAACATGGTAAAAATATAATTATATGGGTTCTTGAAGTACTAATCCCAGACTTAGTTAAGCTTGAATTTCCTAATCTTTACCGATAATAAACAATAGTGTATTTAAAATAATTTCTCGTTAATGAACTTCGTTCCCATCTGGTAGTCATGCCACTGAACAAAACTGGAACGGTTTCATCAGCTTCTGTTCGCTGAGGTGTCCTGCAAGGTTGTACACTATAACCAGACTATTTAAATGTACACTTCCTTTTTTAATGAGCGAGCACCCGATTTACTTAAGACTATCTTCCATGTAATGGCTGCCTCATAAACCGATCAACTCACGTTGTTAAAAAAACTGGTAAAAATCTTATCACATGGGTTCTTGAAAATTATTTGCTAATTACAGTTTTATTTTATCATAAATTGCCAAATCAGCATCAATAATAAGCAACAATGAAATATTTAGAAATTTTCTTGTACAATGAATTACGAACAGGTTGTCACACCATCGACCAACAGCATCGACAAAGTCTCCTGGGCTATTGTTTGCTAAGGTGTATTTCAAGGTTTTATACCATGCCCAACCTTATTTAAACATAAACTTCTTAATTTTCGATGTGCAACTAACCGATTTATCTAGAACATTCTTCACGTAATGAATGCATCATACAATGATCAATTCCTCGATGGCTGAACCACTGGCTAATTCCTCATACCTTTATTCTAGAAGGTTATTTACTAATCACAGTCTTATTTAAGCTTAAACTTCCTAATTCTTAACAAAACAACAATAAACAATATGTACAATGTGTGGTGTTTAGTCACCGTTAGCCAAAGATTATTTGGAGATCGTAAGGTGCGTTCTGGTGTGACGTAGGTTTTAGAAAAACATTTTCTTTATCATGCCAACGTTTCGATCTTTATTGAGATCATCTTCAGGGCCTGGGATTTATAAACATGTATGTATAATAAACAATATGTACAATCCTTTTTTAAACAGTTCACTAATTTTGTGGTCCGCTTGACCAATTAATATATTACAATTAATTAAGGTTTTTAGTTGAGATAAAAAAAGTCAATGGCACGAGCGGGATTCGAACCCACGATCTTCGGCTAGATACGCCACGACGTCACGATAGCTCAAGTGGTAGAGCAGCGGCGTATCTTGCGGAAGATCGTGGGTTCGAATCCCGCTCGTGCCATTGACTTTTTTATTTCAACTAAAAACCTTAATTAATTTCTAACAATATGTACTCCTAATTTCCATTTACTCCTCGCCAAGGTGTTACTCAAGGTTGTACATTAAGCCCAGTCTTATTTAAGCGCAAATGCAAAAATTTTATACGACTAACTGGTTAAAAGACACAACTTCCGGCAGGTACAACTACAACCGGCCAGTTTGATTCATACCATCGTCCAGCAATGATACATTTTCGTAAACTATTATTTAAATAGGTGTTCCTCAAAGGTATACACTACGCCCAGCCTTATTTAAGCATAAACTTTTTAATATTATTCAACAAAAAGGAAGAGTGTTTTATGTATAAAGCTTCCTGGATAATTGTATTGTTAATTAATTACCTTAGACATCGGGCAACTGATGACTCTCCTCAAGGTCCTTTATTATGCTTAATCTTGTTTAGACCTTTTTTTATATGTTTAACTAACATCTTCCAGCAGATAAAACTGCATTGCGACCAGTTTGACTCTTACTATCGACGAGCACTTTCAAAGTTTCATCAGCCATCGTTCACTTAGGTGTTCCTCCAGGTTAAACCCTCGGTATTATTTAAGCATAAATTCAATATTTTTTATATGAACACATGTTGGGGGACGTCGGTGGCCGCAACGGTTTAGGCGTTGACACGTTGGTCATTGTAAGGTAAAATCCCCGGGTTCGAATCCAGCGTGCCTGCATTCGAACCCGACATACTTACAAATGGGCTTTTTTTCAGAACGCCGGCACCCCGAGGGTTGATATAACCTTTGCTGTTGCAAACCCTTGTTTAAAAAAAAAAGTTTCAGCACATACACCTGAATTGTCACTAGTTTGTCTCATACTACCGATCAGCACTGACAAAGTATCATCAACAAATGATAATAGCAATAATAGCAGATAAGCATTGCGACCAGTCGACCATTACCAACGACGAGCACTGTTTCATTAGCCAACATTCACGTACTGTTCCTCAAGGTTACACAATAAGCCTAGCATTAGTCAAGCCATAAACTCTTTAATATTATCCTCGATAATTTGAAGGTTCGGAGAAAGAAAAAACATGAACAACAACAAAAAAGATAAACTACAAATTCGAATATTTTATTAGTCAACTATCAAACAGCAACAGTATAACATTTTTCATTGCTTAATTTTATTACTAATTTATTTCGTAAGGGGTTTTCTTGTAAATCTAAATGATACAAAGTATACAAAAACAGAATATTCGTGAAAAATAAAACAAAAATTATAAAAATTATCAAATCACAATTAACATTTTGATAAAATGGCTGGAATGAGGGTTACATTTTTTTTTTCTTTTTAAGATGCTACATCATGATTACATTTTCATTATAAGGCCGTTTATAATCAATTATTATTTGTTTAACAATTCGTATTTCAAAAACAATTTCCCCTTTTTTAATAATTATTTTTTTAAATATAAAAAAATGTAATTTTAACGAACTATTTTTTAAAACAATTAATGCCCATTGTAGCTTTAATCTATGTTCTTCGAAAGTTTTACATGACTGATTTATCTTTAATAACTTACGAAGGAGTCAAGTATGATAAGCCACTTGTTTTAATTGAAGATCTTCTCGATAAATACTTGTTCGTTTGTATGGGAGCGTTGTGCTTTGTGCTTCAATTTACCTGTACTTAATTGTTGATTCGGGGACAGTTTTCGCAAGAAGCTTTAATAGGTGAACAATATCGAAAAAAAGTTTATTTTTTTCGAGTTTTTTAATTTTTTAAGCCGAAAGGAAGTAAAAGAGGTAAACTTATAAATAGAAAGGACTAGTATTTGAAATAAAACAAACTAAAAAAGAACAATAAATAAAAATAGTAAGATAACAAAAATCTACTTTTTACATTTTTTTTTTTTTTTTGAGAATTTGTTACTTTTTCCTTCTACCATATATTATTTACATATACATTGTCATGTAAAACTTTAGAATATCGGATACCGCCCGGATGTTAAGTTCCAATACAAAACGATCGACTATACAACACCAAAAGCTATATTGCACTTCTTATTATAAAATATAAGAGGAATTTTCACTTTTGATAATAAAATGTTTTAAAAAAAATAAAACTTATGGAATGTAGTTTTGGTTTTTTTTAAAATGCAGAAGAAATGCAAAGTTTTTTAATGTTTTTTTTTCTTTTCTTTAACTAATAAAACTTCCCTTTATAGGGCTAAATCAGTACGATAAAGATCCACATTTACTAAATTCGACGATGCTATTATATATTTGTTTGTTATAAACAACACATGTTGTTCGTTTAACAATTCCTTACGTAAGAATAAAATGTAATAAGCTGAGTTTACACCAAATGTTTTTATCGCATCATTCTAAATTTAAGTTTAATAATTTAAGACTTATCAATTTCAAATATTCTCACTGAGGTCAAAACGAATCTTTATTCATTGAAGCGGATGAATTTCTTTCACGTAATTTTCCATTTATTTCATTTTATTGGCACTTGATTTTATCAGCTGTGTTGCTAGAGAAACCACCGGTCATGCTGACAGCCCCTTTCCTGTGGCTCCTCGGGCTCATGTAGGCCTTGTAGAAGAACCTCGCGAAGAGCACGAAGTAGCTCAGATACATGGTGATCGACATCCTGAGGTTCGTAGACGTCACGTTACAAGGCTGGCGCTGCTGGATGTACTGGGCCGCCCACACATTGACGGTCGTCGCGATGACCATCTGCGCCAGCTGGCACCCGGTGATGACCATGGCGAACCGTTTGGGAGGACTGTAGCCCATCGAACGCAGCGCGTAGTACGTATACATTATGGAGTGCACGCAGTAGTTCATGACGATGAACCATCTGGCGGAGGCCGTGTACTCCGTGTAAGAAAACCAGGCGTATATGAGGACGGTTATGTGGTGGTACCAGTGGAGGAATATCAGCGGCTTTTTCCGCAGAACGATGAATATAGTGTCCCCGAGCTCTGGAAGCTTCGAAAGGACGAACAGCCAAGTCCACACCCCGGCCACTTGGTCCTGCTCGATGAAACTGTAACAAATATAACCCTTTAGACCACACAAAACACTTCTATCATAGTTTTAAAAAAACAATTACGAACAATCTCTTCATATAAAACAAAGCAATTTGATCGTTGCTCTGAAGATCCTGACAGAAATGCAGTACTAGTAGAAGCAACAAGTACAGAAGATCCGTAACGATCAAACAGCTCCAAGATGTCAAGATTTTACAAGCTCAACAAAAGTTAAAGAGAAGAAACGGCCCAGGTTGAATAACCAAGCACGGGAAGAGAGAACAAAATCACTTTCCAAATAATAAAACCCAGTTTAGAAAGGGCACCGCAAGTTGTATAAAGCTTCATTCAATCCACGCAATATAGAAAATACAATAAAAAAACATCAACTTTAAAAACTTTTCATTTACATTTTGTAGATTGATATCAAGAAGAAAAACGTTCCAGGCAGCCTTTAGCATGTTCTACCATGTGGAAATTCAATGAAACCCTTTTTACAATAGGTCAATAATTATCGACCGATTCCGTAATTAACTATAACCAATTCCAGCCTTATTAAACAAATTAGCTAACAAATTTTACAACAAAAAATTATCGTCCTTATCCTGAATCAACGATACAATCGTGAAAAATGTATGACAAGGTTATACAAAGAAAAAAATGTTACAAGTTCAGGTTTTTTTACACCGTGGTCCTGCCTCTGGGCCATAGGAATTTTGAAAAAAAGGCAAAAAAAATAGATTTAAGGTCAGTCAAATACGCTAAAAAATGGTTTTAAGGTCAACCAGAGCAATAAAAAATAAAAATAACTCTCAGTCCGCCGTTTCTCGCTCCAGTATTTACAGAATTTTATATTTTCCTAAGCTTCAATATTTCATCCATTGGTGTTTTATGATCCGAGCATTAAAATCGCTCCACCTCCACCCACCCCCAGGTATTTCTTCTAGGTTTTACAGCATGAAGAGCGCTGTGACTAATCCTTTCGTGAATTCGTTTTGTCGTGTCACTTTCACTCGTGGCCATTTGTCAACACTTTATACCTAGGGTTTATTATTTATTTTCCAGCCAAGGTTGTCCGTTCTGGAATTTACCATCTCGGAAACACATTGATGGTGAACCAGTTTTCCTCGTGTCTCCTTACAAACGGTCCATAGGAAATAATTATTTATGAAATCTACTAATTTTTTTTTAAAGTACCCATGTATAACTAAAAGATTAAAGTTTGTTCTGGTTCAGCTCGCGTTTCGTATAAATGATCCCTAAGCAATAAATATATTTTGTTTTAATGTCTTTGTCTAAGGAAATTTTATAAAGTGCCCAGGTATAAAAATTCCAGTACGTTTAAGTCGGTTCGGGTTGGGATTTGTCAAATTGGAGGTGCATGCCCATTGAGACGATCCAAAAGAAATATTTTTTCCTTAAACTATTTTAAGTACCTGCTAGGAACTCGAGTTCGCGCAAATTAGCATGGTTTGAGACTCAGACCTATTGTAAAAAAAATATTTTGTACATCTCAAGAGTTTTTTTAAGCATCGAAGTAAGTACTCCATTCTCATGGTTCAGGTATTTTCCTTGTTTCCTTCAATTCATACTATTTAAAAACACTGTAATGTATGCTATGCCATTGCTTTTTTTTTAAGTAAAACAACAACACTAGAACTCGAGTTTTTTTTTCTTTTTTGGATGACCTATAAAACAAACAAACCGAATTTTTTTTTAAATTCACTAAGCTTAAGCCTAAGTACCAAGTAGGATTTTAAAATCAATTCAGATTTTTAATCAGCGTTTGGCAAACGATCCATTATTAGAAGTAATTTTTTCGTGTGTCTAGTAAATTGAACTGGGTTTTAAGTACCAATGTAGGAACTCGTGTTCCTTCAACATGTTTCATGTTCAGGGTTAGTTTTTCTTTTTTTTAATGTATCTTGCGTGACAATTAATTTATTTGAAGTACCCAGGCCGAAACTCGAGTTCTTTCAGGTTTATCTTGTTTGAACGGATTCGAAAATGTCAAGTCTACTGAACTAATTTTTCTCAAGTTTTTATGCGTTAAGAGTCCAGTGGGCTTTTTAGCTTAAGTACCAACGTCAGGTACTCGAGTTCTTGCAGGTTTTTGTTTGAGGCGCACTCGACAAAATAATTCGTGTACGTTCCGAGTTCTTTGCGTTTCCTGACAAACGATCCATTTAATTTCTTTTTATGACAACTCTATTGAACTTATTTTTCTCATGTCTTTATGTGTTGAGATTTCCAGTGAGTTTTAGCTTAAGTACCAACGCAGGTACTCGAGTTCGTTACAATTTTTTGCATTTCCTTTTTTTACGTGCCAAGTCTACTGAACTTTTTTTTTTTCAAGTTATTATGTGTTAAAGGTTCACTGAGCTTTAACATAAGTACTAACGTGGATATTCGAGTTCTTGCATATTTGTCTTGTTTAGGATGCCAACATATTGACATAAAAACAAAACAAAGCCGTCGAATTTGTATGTGTTAAAAGTACAAGCTTTTTTAAGTTCCAGCTTAAGAACTCAAGTTCTTTTGAGCCGGTTAAGGTTCAGATAGATTGATTGTCTCTTAACAGATCCTTTTTAGTGTACCTTGTAAGTTGATCTAGCTTTAAGTCCAGCATAGGAACTCGAGTTCTTTGAAGTCGGTTCAGGTTCAGGGTCAGCTTTTCCTCTCGTTTCCTAATAAACGATCCATAAGAAGTATTGGTTTATTGCTTTTTTTAGTGTGTCTAATAAGTGAATCTAGCTTTTTTTAAGTACCAATGTAAGAACTCAACTTCGAGTCGGTTCAGGTTCAGGGTCAGCTGTTCCTAGCAAACAGCCCATAAGAACTATTTTTTTAGTGCTTTGTAAGTCGACCTTGTGTCGATACCAACAACATAGGAATTCGTTGAGGTCGATTCAAGTTTAGCTTTTCCTCGCATTACCTTATAAACAATCCATAAAAAATAATTATTTTAATACAAAACTGTGTACATCAGTAGCCCCATAGGAACTCGAGTTCGCTCAGTTCCCCCGGGCTAATTCGGATGGAAGCTATTTTAATAAATGATACAGCCCAGTTCCACTGGAAATCCCACTCAGCCTGTTTATAACCGACGTGAAATTACAGGCGAAGGACAACCCGGTTTCACTTATTCAAAAGCCAGACTAAGGTAGTTTTTACACCATTGATCATGAGGATGGATAGACGAATATCCCTGGCCGCTATAATCAAATATGAAATTTCACCCCTTGAGCGGTCAGATTTCAGCCTTTTCCGACGTAAATCTAATAGATTTTTCACTTTCACCTATTCAATTGCGCAAAGAGAAGACAAATAATATTGTTTTTGAGGTATCTGAAGTAAATCCAACATATTCTGTGAATAAATAGTGAGAAAAAACTGTTACACGTGAGATTTGTCTATTAAAAATTCAAAACTTTTCAAACCGGCGTTGATTTTTAAACTTGTTTAAGAGGCCGGATAAATATACCTTTTGCCTGAAATAAGTCATCAATTGTAACTTGTGCAAGACCTCAAATCTTGAACCTTTCAAAATCGCTGTTACTTTAACTACTTGAAATAAACTGGATCGGCCAAGTTAGCAAGCGACTTTTGAAATACTCCACGGGTATTTCAAACTCGAAATTTCGAAAATGTAAAGTTAAGTAGTGTACTAAGTCGTTTCAGATCCGATGACTGATGGTCATCGATATCAACTGTTGATTTTTAATCCTTACAAGAGTACTTTCTCATTTCTCAAATTTGATCAGGCTGTCGATGATGACCAGCTAACGACAAAAGTTTTAATCAGATACAGTAATGAAGTATTGATTTCATATAGTCTACTTTGCCCGGATATTATATTGTATAGATGTAGGTCTTAGTCAATATTTGACTTACGAGGCATCCAGGTCATTGAAGAGCCTTGGATTTTAAAATCCACGTTGATCCTGGGTCAATATTGACCGAATTGCCTCATTTTTTCTTCTTCTAAATACCTAGAAAACCATACAGATACCTAGACTTTTATTTTCCAAGAGAAAATCGGCATACTTTGATCATGCGACACGTTGACCTTGGACAATGTTTTCGCCTTTTAACCCATGTTGGTTAAGACCGGTTGGTTGTTGACCCGACTCGTTCCGTTAGAAATTTACCTTGTAAATTTTACCTGAGGAATTTTCTTTTTCAAGGATTAAACGGGGTTGATTTTTAAAAGAGTTCAAGGGATTAACCACAAAATGATTGAGTTTGTAAAGGATTCGACATGAGGATAAAAGCATCTTGTAATTATTAAAAACAAAAATAATGAGATTAGTCTTTCAAGAAGGATTTTTTTAAATGAGAAATGTTCTATCTTTGCTTCCTCATGCGCGAAATTGCAATATAGATAAGTAGAAATGCCCGCTCTGACGATATGTCTCTTTATCCTTATCCGCCGGCTTGTTGAGACAAATTTTATATTGATGTATTTCTATGGTAAACAAGTGCATTTTCGTCAAGTAAAATGTTGGAAAAGTTCAACCATGGCTCTGATAATAATGGTTTATGGTTTTTTTTTTGTTAAAATAAAGGGAGGATGAAAGAATGAGCGAGTGCGGTGGTTGTCGAGGGGCGGACCGGCGATGCCGAACACGCTCGAAGCGCCGGGTTGCATATAGGTTTTGCAATATTCCGGCTCGAGCCTCCGACCTCAGGATTGGCAAACAAGACCGATTATGTCACCGGTTCGTCCTCGTTAAAGCTAAAACGATAAAGAAAGTTTCATTTGGATATTTACCTCGGGACGCAGATGGACTGGTATAAGCCGTAGTTTTTGAGTACGTAGAGGAGTTCCGGTGCGGTCCTATAAGCGCCCATGATGCTGAAAGCGGCGAGCAACGAGTTCCAGAGGCACAGGAGCCCTTCGAGCTTGAAAGGCCGCCTGCTCTGCATGAAGTACTGTATGCCGAAGATGAGTATCATGTAGAGGCCGGAGATGTAGAAACTGATGGTCCAGTTTTTGGTCATCCACGCCCGGGTCTCCTGGTTGCTGAACTCCTCCTCGAAGTGAAAAATGTAGGAGTAGTTCCTGTTTGTGACCATGTCGCTGAATCCTGCCCTCATTCTGAACCGGGCTCGTCTAGAGCATAAAAAGAAGTTGGCTTTTTTTCTTAATCGACAGGAGGTCCGAATGCCCGGTGATACTGCTCTCTCTTCTGTACCGCGCCGGCTAAGCGTGAAACATTGGGTGTCGGCACGGCGGTCGAGATCCACAGACTGAATGGGGAGTCGGGATGGGTCTTTCTTCTGAAAATATCCCCGGACGGCGGCGAATCGATGGAGTGGGGCGACTATCGAGACGCGACTATCGTCCTCCCATTCGTTCAGCCGGCTATCGATGCCCCGCACTTTTCAGTCTCGGCCTCCCTCAGTTCTTCAAAAAATTCAGACGATTTTATCGATAGTCACTGTCCCCGAGGCTCGTCCCTTTAAGCGCCGAACGATATACAACTAGCTTCCGGACAAAAATGAAAACAAAAAAAAACTGAATCATATGCTCGGCAACATGCACTCGGATCGGCTTGCGAAAAGTTTCAAGAAGCTCATCGCCGACCTGAGGAGGATCGAGGCTAGCCGGGAAGACATAGAAGCGGCCAAGGAGGAGTTGGAAGATGTCATCGGTTCCAGGAGGGATTACGAATCCGCGACCACCGTCTCGGCGTTGATATCCCTCTTGGACAAAAGAGACGAGCTCGGACCGCTCAACGTCCGCCATCTCTACGGGATTCTGGAAAGAGAGAGCTTCGCCGGGTTGAGGGCCGCCCTCAACGAACACGGACGAGAGATGAGGCGGTTCCTCGCGGAAGAGTTCGTCAGAGAGCCGTGCGCCGATCTCCAACTCCGGGTGTTCACGGAGCACGTATTCCCTGAAAAAGGTACGGAAAACAATCCGACTTTTCAACGGATTGTCAAGCCCTTAGCGGACTTCTACAGGGTCACAAAAAGCCCTACTTCTTACAAGCCAACTTTAAAAAATGTATATATTTATAAAAGTCTTCTCGACTTTATTATCCACGTTTAAATCCTCTAAACTTCAAATTCCTTTCAAAGTTTGCCTTGGACCCCCACCGAGTTTCATTTTTTTAATAGTTTTATTTATTTTTAAATTGAAATTATGGGAACGTTGCCTAAATACAATACAATTTTTGAGAAATGATGATGCGGATCCACGGTACAGATGATGATGACCTTGGATCCTCCTCATCATTTGCTGAAATTTACGGTTTGTTGAGTTCCTCCATCATGTTTAAAACCCATAAATTATAATTGAGTGTAAATACTATTCGTTGAAGTCTTGAGGAGCTGTCAAGAATGAAGTAGTTTATAAAAACACCTTTCTCATTTTTTTGCCGACGTTCGATCTTTATTCCGGTCATCTTCAGGGCATAAAGTGTAGTACTATTCTTGTGGTGTCATATAGGTTTTGTCTTGTTTTTCTAAACTTCCTCATTCTTGACCACTCCATGACTAACAAATTACGAAACAACAGGTCACTTAGAAACAGACGTAAATACTAATTTAAAACATAAAAAAGACGATTTTTAAAAAGATTTCCTTGAGATGAGAAAAGATAAAATTGTCCTTTATTAAGAATTAATCCATTTATGTTTAGTGGTCTAATTGACCATAATTATTTCAATTAATTATTCTTTTTATGTAAGGTCTTGGTTGAAATGAAAACTTGAAAATTGGCCGAAAGAGGTAAAATGTGAAAAGTTGAAGATTGAGTGAGATGGTTGGGGGAGTTAGTATCCGAGGACCGAGTGGATCTAAGTCACGATAGCTCAAATGGTTAGAGCAGCTGTGTATTTAGTTCAAGGTCGTAACACTTTTTCATCTCAATCAAGACCTTACATAAAAAGAATAATTAGTTAATACAAAACAAAAAAAAGGGAAAAAAGTATCGTATGCGTTGATTTCTAACTGATCAAGCAGAACAGAACTCCTCTGGGGACTCTACTTTTCCTTTTAAACTTGCCCACGGTGGTCAAAGGTAGATAGAATAGCTAGAGAGAGTGCCTCAATTGGTACTCCTCGGGAGTGACCTCTTATCGTCACATTAGGCAGCTCTTCTGGGTGGCCTGGAGGCATGAAACACAAGAAACTAGTTTTTTACAATTTAAAAAAAATCCTCAATTCCTTCCTTAAAAGAAGGAACCCTTGATCTTCACTCCATACTAAACTTCTTAACTCCATTATTAACTTATTAACAATAATAGATAGATTCCCTCAATTCTTATTTTGTCTAGTGCCCATTATTCTGTAATAATAATTTGTAGTAAATATAAATTCTGGTTGTCGGAAGTTGATCAGGGGCACCTATCTCCAGGGTCTCGAGTGTTGGTCTTGGGTTGGATTGTGGGGTGCATCCCCGAACTCCATGATCAAAGTATCTCCAGTGAGATTTGAGGAAATTTTAGGAGGAATATGGATTTGTAAAATTTCAATTTAAAACTAAAAACGCCAATTCTAAAAAAAAAAAAAAATAAAAGATTTCTTAATGATAAGGCAAGATAAAATTGACATTTATTAAATAAATATTATAAATTAAACAGAAAACAGTACATTAGAAAGATTATGTTATGTGAAGTGTTAAGTCAATCAAAAATAAAATTGGCATTTTCCATTAATTTCTACTTGATATAATTGATTTTATCAATATATCAATTCTTCAAACAATAAATAAAAATAGAAAATTAACAAATATCAATTTAAAATCCAAATCACAAAAATCGAAAATAGAATATACTAGCCATGTCAGGTAAATAAATGGTTTTATTGATTTAATTTCCAGTTATCAGTCTTCTAGCAAGCAGTTTGAACGATTCGTGGCTCGAGGTTGCCAAGATTATAGAGCTCGGTGACTGGAACATCCAAGTTATTGAATCTATGGACGTAGAGAACGAAGAAAAGATAAAAGAGGTACAGATTTTTTTCCCTTGTGGATAAACTGTGCTCATTGAATTTTTAGGCCTGTACCCATACCATTTTTCATCTTCTTATTTTCACATACTGCTCTCTTTTCAATAATTATTTTAATTTTTTATTCTCTACCCCCTACCTCAAGATGCTTAAAGTCTATGCCAAGGAGGGTAGATTTTTAATGAAAAGAGGACGACTTTTAAACGCGTTGGCTCAGATAAGGAGAAACGACCTGAGGATGCAGGTACAAAAATCATTTATGGAGCCCTGTCTCTGCCCTGCCTGCATACCCTTGTGATGCAAAATGAAGGTAATGTACATAAATAATTAAAAGCAATTTTCAAATGTTTGATAGTCTGTAAATAATTGTTATTTTTGAAAAATTGTTTATTCTTATTTTTTTACGAAAAATATATGTATTTACTAAATGCAAATGTTTTTTTAATTTTTAGTTATTCTGTACAAGTATATATTATAATTTAACATATTAATGTTATTTATTTATATTTTAACCTTCAACAAAAAATAATGACCATCTTGTTTGAACTTAACCACCTTACAATGTTTCTAGGCTATCACGACATGACATTAAGTATTAAAACTTGCACACGCATACATTATACAAGCATACACACATACAATGAAACCTCTTGCTAAGGGACAGTCATGGTACCATTATTTTTGTCCTCTTTCAAGAAGTGTCTTCTAGAGTTTTTTTAGCGTCTGATAACCCATAGTCTGTAATCTGTATATGTACGGATATGTGAACTGTAGATTTAGACCGATTTTTTAATTATTTCAGTTCATTTAGTTGAGATGAAAAAAAGCTAATGGCACGAGAGGGATTCGAACCCACGACCTTCGGCTAGATACGCCACTGCTCTACCACCTGAGCTATCGTGACCTCAATCCACTTGGACATCAACTTCCTATCTCAACCCCACCTTATGAGTTTTCCCTCCTTTTGCCATTTTTCAAATGTCGTGTAATCGGTTTGGATTCTCGACGACAATTGAAATGGCGACGGAGAGCTTTAGTGAAGTGTACTTCATTTTAATTCATTAAATTCACTATTTTCGTGGTCCGCTTGACCAATTAAATCATTACAATTAATTAAGGTTTTTAGTTGATGAAAAAAAGCTAATGGCACGGGAGGGATTCGAACCCTCGACCTTCGGCTAGGTACGCCGCTGCTCTACCACCTGAGCTTTGTAATTGTAAACAAATTTCCGAGCTTTCCTGAACTTTAAAAAAAAAAATCACTTATTTTCTTACTTTTAAAGTCAACCTTTGGTAGGTCGGGTGTCATCATTAAAACACTTAAACTGAAATAATGAATTGATAAAATATCATGAAGAAAATAAGAATATATGTGAGTGGAGGATTAAAAAATTCAAGAAAACCCTTTAAATCAATTAATCAATTTTAAATATAATTAGAGATTGTTTTGACACCTAAAGATCATTTATTCTACCCTAAAAAAAATGTGCCCTCCAAAGATTTTCTGAATGCATTTTTGCAAGGACATTTTCTGATGTGCATGTCCTTGTACCTTTATTTAGTAAAGGTGAGTAATGCATGGAAACCTATTAGGTTTTGTGGTCCGATTGACCAAATAAATTATTTTCAATTAATTAATCTTTAATTAAGGTTTTGGTTGATTTCGAATTCCGCACGTGACACTGACTTTTTTATCTCAACCAAAACCTTAAGTAAAGATTAATTAATTGAAAATACATAGAAAATTAATCTCCATGCTGGTCTACGGTTATTCTGGAGGGACTCCATTAACAGAGGTTTCACTGTACACAAAATGACATACAAACATGCATTTATTTGCACGCACATGAGAGACACATTCTTCTATCTAAAATGGAAACAAACAAAACCACACGAACAAAACATTTAACAAGAATTTCCTAATAATTGTGCACAATCATGAGAAAAATTATATATTTTAATTAAAATGGTCCTAAAATACACCACAAATACATATTTATATGGTAGGGGGGAGAAAAAGTGAATACATAGTCGCATTTATAAGTTGTCACTTGAAGTAATAAAATACTTTGATTTTTTTGTTAAATTAATGTTGCATAGGCCATAATATAAGGGCAGCTTCACTCTGGAGTGCCACATAAAGAAGATGGGCAAAGTAAACGGAAATCTGTCAAATATAAGTTTATCTTGAGGCGGATTCTGAGACTTGAAGATGTAGAGTGAAACGAACAGGCTGACCGACTAGCCAAAGGGGAGTTAATTTTTGGAAAAAGTATTAATTTTTTTTTATGTAGGTTGGTTTGAAATTTTGGCTATATTTGAGCTTTAAGGTTCAATTGGCATTAGTGGTAAGGATTCATGCCTCGCGCATACAGGGAGCTTCGGGTAGACAGGATTCTGCTTCATGACCCTTAAATTCAGATTTGACAAAAAAATTCAAATTAAAATACCTGATAGAACAGATTGGAAGAAAAGAATCCCAGTTACCACTGGGTATTTATAAAAATAAACCAAGGACTGGAAATCATAAGCCTTTGCGATATGCCATTGTGTTTCAAGTGGAGATTGTGGCTTTTGAACATTGTGCCAAGGAGTTTAAAAGGTATTGTTAACAGTAGAATTAGGTATCAACTGGACAGTCAGGCGGCACTGAGGGTAATTACATCGGTGGTAAAATCCCCTTGTTTGGCATCGCTTCAGTCATTTGAGCAAACAACAAAATTACCCTTGTCTGGGGTACCAGATCACAGAAGATAGAGGGGCAACGAAAGGCTGATAAATTGGCCGAGAAGAGTTTTACGAGGACACCTATAAGCTGTGAACCATTTTGTGGCACCAAATTGTCAAAAATGTGGATCCATCAGATAATGGATTAAAATAAGTCAAGTCCATTCAATAGGAACTCAGGACAGAGGCATGCGAAAAAGTTCATCGAAGGACCATCGTAGAAACTGACGGAACTACTAAGGACCTGTAAGTACTAGAATAATAGTTGGACTGCTGACTGGAAAAATATAGACTTGAGGTGGCAGAAACAAACTAGGAAGAAGAAACAGTGAAAATATCCTCTGTTGGAGAGAAGGATGCAGGCTGAGATTCCCACTCTTAGGGAAAAAAGCTTGGACCTGAAGGATACTCAAGGGCGTCCTTGAAAAAGCATTTAGATCTGGTAAAAAGCCTGAAGCTTAATTAATTTTAAACAATGGAGATATGCAATAGATTAATACTAGTCGTAGTATGCAGGTCGTAAAGAGGCCAACTCCTTTTCTAACCTAAAGGATATGTCATACAACTGCAGGATTAATTTTTAGTTTTAAACCAACTTTATTAATTCAGGCTGTTTATGTAAAGTAAGAAATATTAGGCAGTTTTGTATTGTATAGACTAAAACAGCCTTGAATTATATTTCCTTCATACGAGGTGAAATATGCAGCTCATAACTTTAACACTACTTCAAATTCGTATAGCCCCTTCGGGTAAACTTGAATAAGTGAAAAGTATCTAAAATTGTTGATGTATCGGGTTGTTTTGTAGGGTGGCATTAAAAAATAAATAAAGTGGTTTCATTTTAAATAAAAGAAATACTAAATAGAACAACTTTATTCAAATTGTTTATTCTTTCTAAATGCTCCAAGGGTGGTTTCATTTCATTCCAATAAAAGATTTCATAAAACTCAAAATTGGCTGCGAGCAGGAAAACAAATTGAATTGGCCATTTAAAAAGAAAGAGTAATATTCACAGGAATAAATAAAATAGTATATATATATTTTTTGTAACAACTAAAATAAATGTTAAAATAGAATTTTTACTAAGCTAAAATATAAGCAAAATAGACACATTTACCAAAACATCATAATGTACAGTAATAAACAATTATCTCCACCTCCAATATGAACACGAAAAATTTCCCTAATGAATACAATATGTTTACTTACATTATCAATAATTTTGTTTTTCTCTCTCTCACTTTCTATGCATTAACCAGCTTTAATGTGCTATAAAAAAAAAATTAAATTAACAATATCAAAATCACAATAGCCAGGAGTCTAAATATACAATTTTGTTTAGCATCCTTCGATTGTAATTTTCTTCCACTTAAACCTCATAAAAACAATTAATAATAAACAAGGCCATACAATATATCATGCTTTTTTATGAATTTAATCACAAAAAAGATTATTTTTAACTACAAAAATAATGAATAATAACTTTAAATCCGACATAACAAAAATTTCTCTTTACCATTCGACAAAAACAGAAAAAAAATTGTCAACAATAATATACATTTTACAATAAAAGACAACACATACCTGAAAACTTTAAAACAAATTAACTGTGATATTTTTTATTTATTTATTTTTTTTTTAATTCCATTTTTAACCGATTAAATTTTATTTTTTATTTAACAGTGCTATGAACATCACAGATTTTATGTGAATAAGTAACAAGACGGGCGATAAATTATTACTCGCTTACCTTCCTCCTCGATACTATGACTTATTTTTGTAAGGCGCCCATTGGTCGGTTTTTATATTTTAAATTAATAATAAAATTAATTTACCAATAAGGCACCCTTCAGTTTTAATTTACCTAAATACTCAGCTTTCACCAAAAACCCTATTCAGTAATTATTTATACATATTGATTTTTTTTATTATTAATAAAATACACTTGCCCTTATATTTACAGTTTACGAGTGTGATTTGTTGCTCTCGCCTTGACCGGCGGGGCAACGAAAGTAAATTGAAACTTTTTCTGTTTATGCGATTATTAAAAAAGATTTAACAATATGTAAAAAAAAATTTGTTTTCAATGTTTTCATAAATCTCTATGGTATTTAATTTTCAATTTCAAATTGCATTGTCATGCCTTCAGTTGCAACAACAGTCTTTGGTACAATTGTGAATTTATAATATGAAATAAATTCAGTCAATTTGGTCACTCAAGTCCAACACTGTTTTTTTTTTCCACGTTAATTTTGTTTGTACAAAGTTTTATGTATATGCAAACATCCGCTAAAAACAAAGAATTGAATCTGCCATTATTCTCCTTTTTTTGGTCTGTGTTGTTTTTTGTTTTTGTTTTTTTATCCCCCACCTCCATTTCAAAAATTCTATTTCACTAAGAGTTTGACACGCTGGAGGAATTCGTAGTACGAGTGTCCAGCTGGTGTCTTGTCTTCTATCAGCTTGTCCAAGAACTGCTGTCGTTGTGGGCTGTCATCCCTGATCACAAAAAAAGTCAAATTGTTATTTACAATAAATTATTATAAGCATGAATAAAAACGATCTTTGAACTAAACTAAACTACAATCAAACTTCCCAAAACAGACATTTTTAATAACTGGACAATTTTATTTTCATGTGTATGGTTTCAGTTACTTTACTAAGAAAAGTATTGGCCTGAATAACGTATTTTATCCTTTTTTGTGTCATTATTACTTATACAGTCCGAAAAATGATTAGTAGAAGTGTTTCTATTATTCAGTTTTGTTCAAGAACGTGCTTTTTGCTCATTTAAAATAGAGCAAAAATAGTGTATTTTTGCCATTTATTGAGTTTTTTATTACCATAAAGAAAAAAACTGCAGCTCAGACTGTTAAGAATATTTGTGTTGTATGTGGTGGTGATGCTTTACAGACCATCCATAACATTACTAAAAGTAATTAAACAGTTTAGGATTATCATTTGAAGCGGCAACCACTGTATTGGGATTTCCACCTGTTAACGCCAAGTATATTTTCTTTATTTTCCTCTGTAATCCCTGATCACTATCCTATCCCCATTCATCTTTTCCCTCAGTACTCCTCAACAATAAAAAACTTTGCAAATCTTTATCTCATGTTTTATCTAAAACTTGCCATATTTAAAACAGTTCAGTTCTTTAAGTTACCGAAGTAAAATCAGAAGAGAGTTGCCGTTGATTTCAAGCCCAAAAGTCCTATAAGGCTGTCTATGAGTCTTCAGCTGCTGAACAAGCTAAGTGGCTTTTGTACTCCTGGCTTATTCCTCAATTTTTATTTGATTACTTTTATTATTTTGCTTTATTTTTCTTTGATTTTGGTCATTTGTGAAAACAAGTGCCGCCCGCCTACTGAACTAATATTATTAAAAATAACTGAATTCTAGGAATCAGGAAGTGTCGTGTCAACAAAGGGCCTCAGTATCCAATAGAATAGGTAATTCCTGCTATCGCATGGCAGTACCCAGCTGAATTAATTAATTGGTGATGTCATGGGCTGCCAGTATCTACCCAGACGGTAGCTGACTTGAAGGTGAAATGGGATGTTTGACCAGTAGTAATTGGAACCATATATAAATATACTCCAATAATCAAGCTGAACCCTTTGCCATCGACAATGAGGGAATGGTTGAAACACAATAAGAAAAATAAAGAAAGTGCTATAATTTGTATAGATAGCCAATTTGCCTTAAATATGGTAAAGAATTTTAATTGAGATGAAAGGATAAGAAGGTTCCTATTCAGAATGAAAGCTCCACTCACATCATAACAATATTTTCCGTCCTCTTCATCAAAAAACCACTCTTTTCTCTCCCTTCTGCTCAATCTGGCCTCTTTCTCTTTTACAAAATTTGAAAACCCTTCAACCATAATATCTGCGTTTCATTGGTAGTGTCCTACTTTCATCAATCTCTTTCCCTGCCATCCCCTATTGTCTACCTTATTTACTTCCTGATTTTTCTCTTCTTGTCTGCCAAACGGCATTAGTTTTAGTTTTACTGCATTTACAATCCAATCTAATTTTCAGAATATATTTTTGTTTTTGTTGTTCTTACTTATATATATTTATTTTATACATAATTTTATACTTGTGCAGAGTTGAGCTACATAAATCGGCAATCTGTGTTTATTTTGTTATTATGTTTTAAAATACACAATCTAGACTTTTTTAATCAAGTAAATTTTCAATTAAATACAATTTTGTTTTTCTTTATTCTTCTTACATTTGCTTAATTTTTTCCGTAGTAAGAAGAAAAATAACTATTCTGGGACTGATGTCCCCTAAGAATAATTTACATGAGATAAAATAAAGGAAGTACCTTCTATGAAGTTACAAATTAAAAAAAAAAAAAAAGATAGAAATCTTTGCACAATGTATGCCAGTAAGGCAGGCCAGAAGAGAAAATTACGAGGATATTAAACAAAAATAATAAATGTTATTGTGAGGTCTCTGCTTGGAGGGAGAGGAGGTGATTATAAAGATGGGATTTAAAGGAGGAAAAGGAGGCAGCATGACGAATAGAAAGGGGAAGGGAGTTCCAGAGTTTAGGGGCTCGGATCAGAAAGGATCTTTCGAAGGTATGGGTTGTATGTTGCGGAAGAACAAGGTCGATTGGGGATGAACGGGTCTTACGAGTGTGATGTGAGGAGTTGAATTGGAGGGATTGGATGATGTATGGAGGATGACGAGTGTGGATGGACTGGAAAAGAAAGCAACCTAGGAAATACTGTGTACGGAAGGAGGGGAATAGCCAGGAAAGTTGGAAATACAACCCCGACACACGGGACCCCCGTGGGGTGCCGTACACAAATCTTACGCAACAATTCAAAATACGCTTCAAACGCGCGTTCTCCCTCTCTGAGAGACCACCGTATGCCAAACAGCTATAATCGAAGAAGGGAAGTATAAGGGAAGATACAAGGAGTTTGCGGGTGGAGAAATGTTAGAGAAGCCAGGACCGACGGAACAGGCTGAGGGAGGCGATGGAATGGCGGGAAATTTGGGAAATGTGGGAATGCCAGGAAAGGTTTTGGTCAAAGACTACTCCTGGGTTTTTAACCGAGGAGCAGAAGGGGATGGGGTGGTTATTTAGCATGAGAGGTGGGATGCTGGGGAGGGAAGTGAGGAGTTGCCTGGACCCGATAATTATGGCGGTGGATTTGGGCGGGTTGAGAACTAGGGAATTTTTATGGGCCCATTCGTTGATGGAATTTAGGTCTTTTTGGATCTTGAGAATGGCCGAGTGAAGATCGGAAGGGTGAAAGGATATGTATATTTGGGAGTCATCGGCATGTAGGTGATAGTTACAGGACTTTTTTACTTACAGAGAATATTATTTATTATTATTATTATTAATTTTTAAGGGCGTTTTAACGGCTAAGGTCATTTCACGCCCTTACTATTATTGTTATATTGAATATAAGTACTTTCTAATATATACATTATTATATTATTTTTATTATTGTTCTTATAATAGAGAAGTAAAAACAGGTAAGAAAGGTAACCAAATTAGGTTCTCGAACATTGAAATAGTGCCAACTGGTTGGGGGACACCTAAGGAGATCCTAATTTTTCAAGCAGATAGTGCGGGTCTCAGCCACAGCTACAAAGGCCGTAAGGTGCTGCCATAATGAATGTGTTTACCCATTCTCTATACCTTCTTCACGTGAATTGTCTTTTCCTCCGACATTGTATGACGACGATTTTCAGTTGATCAAAATAATGTGAAAAAGGTAGAGAAAATGTTAACATTAAAACAGGTGATAAAATGTATATTTTGTGGTCCGTCTTACATGACCAAAAAGATGTAGCATGTAAAACCAGCTTAACTTGCAAACAGTAAGGCTAAATACACATGGGGTGTTGAATCGTGCATAAACGGGTGCTTGTGGCGAACACATGGAGCGCTTGGACAAGAGTAATTTTACGATGTAAGTCGAAGAAGTCATATGTATGTGGTTTTCTCCATCATCACTATAAACTAAGAAGACCGCGTCAAAAGAAGTATTGGGTCCAACCTATTTTAAGAGATAGATTCACAAATAGTATGTTTGTTACTCTATACAAAATTACTTGATTATGAACCAAAATTATTCAATTATTTTAGAATGTCAATTAACACGACAATTTTTTTGCATTCGATTAAGGATATTTCATCAAGAACTCAGTGGTGCTGTGACTCCATCCCGCCAGAAGAAAAACTCATCAAAAAACGTGGTGTTTAGTGACCGTCAGCCAATGATTATTTGGAGATCGTGAGGTGCGGGTCTGGGTCTGGTGTGACGTAGGTTTTAGAAAAACATTTTCTTTATTGTGCCAGCGTTTCGATCTTTATTGAGATCATCTTCAGGGCCTGGGTTTTATAAACATTGACTAACACTTAAAAATTTAAACAATGGTTATAAATCCCAGGCTCTGAAGATGATCTCAATAAAGATCAAAACACTAAATTCACTAATTTCGTGGTCCGCTTGACCAATTAAATCATTGCAATTAATTGAGGTTGAGATAGGAAATTGATGTCCGAGTGGATCGAGGTCACGATAGCTCAAGTGGTAGAGCAGCGGCGTATCTAGCCGAAGATCGTGGGTTCGAATCCCGCTCGTGCCATTAACTTTTTTTCATCTCAACTAAAAACCTTAATTAATTGCAATGATTTAATTGGTCAAGCGGACCACGAAATTAGTGAACTTAAAGAATTAATATGAAGTACACTTCACTAAAGCTCTCCGTGACGGCCATTTTAATTGTCGTCAAGAATCCAAACCGATTACACGACATTTGAAAAATGGCAAAAAGGAGGGAAAACTCATCAGGTAGGGTTGAGATTGGAAGTTGATGTCCGAGTGGATCGAGGCCACGATAGCTCAAGTGGTAGAGCAGCGGCGTATCTAGCCAAAGATCGTGGGTTCGAATCCCGCTCTTGCCATTGACTTTTTTTCATCTCAACTAAAAACCTTAATTAATTGCAAAGATCAAAACGTTGGCATGATAAAGAAAATGTTTTTCTAAAACCTACATCACACCAGACCCGCACCTCACGATCTCCAAATAATTATCAAAAAACATCGATAGTGTTGACATTGCAGAACAAAAGCATCAACTTTTAAAAATAAATTGGAGTGCAAGTCAAAAGTTCCAGATATTAGATAAGATTTAAAAAAGCTCCAAAACTCTAAAACCATCTCTAAATTACTGGAATGTGAAAAATTTGGTGGTTGATGAGATATAGTCATTTGTGATGATTATGACAGATATGAGGGAGAACTATAATAAACACTACACTCCATGTTCCACAATGCAGGTCTTTTTTTCAATTTTGTCGATCATGAGAACAGTGTCAACAAGTTACATTTCCAACATGATGATAAAAAAAGAATATTCTATGGTAAAACGTGCGTTGATATGAACAGACCAATTAGTTACTTTGTATATCAACTCGGATGGTAAAACGTGCTTAGTGAGGAGAATCTTGAACCAAACGCTACTTTTAACATCAGTATTTCACTAAGGTGCGTTAGAAAACGCTTTTTGCTTATGGGAAGTTCAACTGCGTGTAGTTTCCGATCATCCTGGTGACAAACCCAACAACGAGGTTGGTGAAATGCCAAAAATATCTGACGAATAAAACCAGTACCAGGATGATCAGAGAAGATTATTATCATTATTAAAATTAATTTGACTTGTATCATAAATACCTGATAATTTCAATAGTAGGTGCTACTGCTTTATCGTTCTGCAAGAAATTGATAAAATTCCTCAACTCTTTCGACTCGGGGTTGTTCAATTCGGGCAAATCCAGCTAGAAAGATATTTTAAAAAATGAACATTGACAAGAAATATTTCTCTCAATTGGTTTTTCATGGTGAAAAGATATATTACCATATTGGAATTGATGGATGAAAAAGAAGGGGCGCTAAATAAAGATATCGCTAAGCTCTGACTAATATTATGACCGACGTATATCATAATCCTGCTTCCATCGTCCATTAAATAAATCCCTTGAGATTCGATCCTTTCGGCGCTCAAATGAAGCAGAGGTGGTTGAACGACAGTTTCATCTCCTATTGTCACTTTAGGCTAAAATACAAATTCATTTAAAAAATAATTTACAAAAGATTGAAGGATATTAAATACATACGTATTCACTAAGATTGTGTACGGGGTACAAATCGGGATGAATGGCCTGAATTAATTGTGATAAGGGAAGAGATTTCATTTGGCACATCGCATAAACCCTGTCGTCTAGCCTTGTGCTCTGTCCAACTCTAAATGCATTCTGAATCAAACAAAAGAAAAAGATGAAACAAATTATTGTTTAATTTGGTTGCTAATTTTTTATTTACGTATTTTAAGAGAGCGAGTATATAAAGCGGTAAAAGGCTAAGACTTGGTGGAGCGAGAAGACTCATAGATGGGTTGCTGGACTGCGTTAATTTGAATGCACTTAACATATCCGCTACAACGTTAACAAATGCCTCTCTCGCGTCGCTCAACGAAGACTGATGACATCTGTCAACGGCTAAGGAGAAAAGCACAGGTTAAATTTTATTTAAAAAAAGTTGGTATACAAATGTTCCTTACATACCCATTTTAGCTAAAAGTCCGATTATACATTGTTGATCAGCACTGTGGAGGACGTCTGAGAGGTTTGACGCGACCGGCAGGCAAAGAGTATGAACCCGAATCCTTCTTTCACCCTTGCTAGACGTGTATAAAAGAGCAGCTTGGAAACAGACGTTCTGCACATCGGTCAGGTTTTCGTCTATCGAGACTTGCATGCCAAAACCGGCATCGGGATTGATGTTAGGCAGTGAAAGGAGGTCAGTCGACCGAACAAAAAAGTTCCCGTGGAATGTATGTATAGATAAGCCTTTAGTGCATCTTAGTCGCATAACCGATTCAAAACCGATTTTACGACACAGATACCTATGCAGGCAACGCTGCAAAGCATCCACGTGTTTAATGTTTTTCGTATTGAACAGTGGAAAATGGTGTATGCAACCTCCAGAAAATTTGCTGATACCGCCTAGAAAAGATTGTTTAAGAACAAATTATTCAGTTATCATTATAAACAAATGACTACTCACTTAAAGAAGCGAGATCGACAAATTGGCTGTTCAATACGAACAGGTCAACCGCAATTTGTTGAGCAGAGCAGTCAAGCGCTAGTTTTTTATAGAAGTCTGTGACAGGGTTGAGCATATTTTGGTTCACGTTATCTCCTGATCGTTGGGATGGATCCTCTCTGGATTGCAGTTTTCCAGGTCCACAGTTTGGAAGGCACGTCTGAAATACTGAAATCCTCCCACCAGTAGCAGCCTAAAAATTAACATAAATTGCAATATTGTTCTAATTTTTATTAACATTGATAAAACTTACTAGAAGTTTGAACGCGGCTTGTAGAGCTGGCCCTAATGCTGAACCAGTGTCATACGACTCTTGATATTTAGTTGGAAGTTCCCTTAAAAGATCTCTAACAAGGCCTAAGCATTCGCTTAAATTGACTAATAAATTTTCTGGACATGGTACGAACATATCTGTAGGAGAAAAACCAGTTAAATAGAAATGCTTTGTTTTCGCTTTTATATCGACGCACCGTCAATATCTACGATGACCATTTGATGCGGCTGGGCTTGCGTGTCGGCCAGACTGTAATAATGCACAGTCGAGTCAAATGTAATAAAGGCAACGGACGTTCTACTGTCTCCTGGCAATGCTTCTAGCTGGGAAAGAAGGCATTCGCAAAAAGTCTGCAAATATCCGCTCTGTACTCCGAGCTGTGAGACGTCGATCACAAAGACATAAGCTGCCGGCTGTGGCGGCCTCACCTTAAAAATTAAAAAATTTAACACACAAAATCGTAATATTTTAATACAAGGGTTTCACAATTTACCATGTATTCGGATGGAGCGATGAACTCGATCGTGGCCGATTTTATCTCGGGCCTACGTGACGGATCGCCATATGTTTTTGTCAACGGATCATACTGAAACTCTTCAGGCACTGGGGGAGGGGGATTTTATTAATTTCTCTTGTTGGATTAATGATATATAAAATACTCACAATCATTGACGCGAAAACATAAATTGCACCTCCATCGTTTTGAATCGACGAAATAAACAAAAGGATTTATATAAGTTCTACAAGACCTACACCTCACTATTGCACTGCACTGTATTACTGATAATTGCTGAAATAAGATATAACAAAAGTGATATATTTTTTTTTTTTTTTTTTTAAGGAAAACTGTTAGAAAAAAAATACTCACATTAAGATCTTTAAAAGGATGGATTAAAACACCTAAAGGTAACCTAGATTTATCGAGTAAGCTCTTCGTTTCGGGAATTCTTGTTAAAGTACAGCGGAATATGCTTTCGGGAAAAAATTCATTATTATTAGCATTTTATAACTATTGGCAAATATTTGTGATTATACAAAAAAACCTACTCAGGGCTACAGTTTGACGATTCGTAATACTCCTGGGATAACCTTATAGGAGGAGGTTCGACTTTAGTAGGAGGAAGAATGTCCCTTGCCTTTAACAAATCTACTGCTTCCCTTCCCTGAAAACATTTTATATATTAATTAAACTTTGTTATATACACCTCATATTGTATTCCTCATCCTGTACATAGGTACGATTACGGGTTGATGGGGTACTGAATACTTCTCTACCATCTTCTTCCTCACACTATGCATTCATGCTTGTAAATCAATCTCAACACTCAATCTCACATAACTATGTATGTTGGGTTGTGGGATGTGCAGTTATATAGAAAACACAGCGTAGTGCTCAATTCTTTATTAAATTTTTAAAGAATTGAACACTACGCTGTTTTCTGTATGACTGCACATCCCACAACCCAACATCGTTGAATATAACAGTCATAAATAAAAGATAATATATATAGATCACTCTCCAAAAATCAGAACAAGGGACCAAAAGACTCATTGGACATAATTCACATATCATGTGGCATTCCTACTTGCTCTCTAGAACCAATTCACTTGCATGGGACATACTGAGCATTTTTTCTCTGCATACTGGGCACCTTAGTAAGGAAGTTTTTCACCTTCAGCCTTCGTGTTAAGATACTGCATTCAAATTGTAAATTTGCCCACCGCCTTTCTCATATTTTATCTTGGAAGTTATCAGAAGATTTTTGACCAGAAACTTAACACTTTAGTTCAAGCACTGGATTGATTTTGCGGAGAGATACTTGTGCAATTTCAATTCCAACTTAGAAGATCAATACAAGTTGAGTGCTTGGGTCATCCATCAGAGGATAGACAAATATCCCCAGAGGAGTTTGTGCGATTGGCTTGACAGTCAAACTTTTTTTTTTAATTCCCTAATGATAAGAATTTCTTACAAGCTTACAATGTATGGCTATGCTAAACCAGGTGTAAATGAACCTTTTTTTTGCTATTCTGATCCCTCTAGGCCACCTATCAGCAGTGCTCTTGATATGTGAGAGCTTTTCAACTGATTCGCCCCACCAATGCTGCCACTTTCTTATACATAATCAAGTTTTTTATAATGCATTTTTAGCATTAGAGCTGGATCATGGTGGTATGTCTCGATTTTAGCCTGTCTGCCTTTTCATTTCCATCTAGACCTATGTCAAGGAATCCAGACAACTGTATTCCTGAGACGCTCCAGTTCGTGGTATCTTTCCAACAAGAACGAGGTCAGAAAGTGCCTGCAGTTACTGCACACAAGAATTCGGTGCAGATAAGGTACGCCGAGATCTCCCATCGTCTCTAATCACCCCGAAGTGTGCCAAATCACATACAATTTGCACCTTTGCTATACATTGCAGTTTTAGACAAAAAATTCTATTAGTCCTTGAAAACAAGAAAAAAGCCAAAATTCTGAGAACTTAGTTTGTGGTAAAGGTACAGCAGGATAGACAACTTGGCTAATAGGGTGAAATCGTCCAGTACGGCTGGAAACCAGCAGCATAATTAACATTACTGAGTTTGTTTTTTATACTACCAAAATAAACACATACTAGATGTTTTGTAAGTATGATTTTTTTTAATTCAAACAGAAGAACAATTCCAAAACTCCTACTCTTCTTACTTTGGTGATATTAAATAGAATATCGTATAAACTCCCAGGAGCTTTGAAGAGAATGGCTGTACAAACTAAATGCTCTCATTTAATTTTTTACATTCACATAATGTAACTAATAATTTTAGGGGACTGTGGTAGGTGAGTGGTCAGCATGATACATTCTCGGCTCTACACCCTGGGTTTGATTACCACCGTTGCCCCTGGCCTTTTTTTCACACAACCCTTTCACACAAAAAAAAAAAATGCACATCACATATGAAGCTAATACGCCAAGTTCATAAGGTCATTAAAAGAAGAAAAAATTATTTTTCTATCTGTGGACCCTTATAAGCAGACAAAATCTCAACCACAAGTGCTGTCTGCTTATGTGAAGATTGACTGTATATGTATTGTTTCTTTCTAGTATGATATGCACTTTATATCTTGTGGTTATGTTTTTCTACATTTGATCTTTCCTTCAGGTTTTTTTTTTTTTTTTTTTTTTGCAACGGAAGTGGCACCCAGTACAACATGGCTGCTGTATAGAAAGCCAATTGGCATTATATTTTGTGTTAGTAACAAGACCATGGTCTGTGTTTAAAAAAGGCAGTGCATCATCAACCAAGAAAGCAAATATCAAATCACATAAATATTGACATTTCCACTTAGTAACAGTTTCAATTGACGCTTTTTTTTAATGATTTGGAACTAATACTGATGGTTTAAAATTACCCATGTGTTTAACTATTTAGAACTGATTTTACACAAGCAGAGTTGAGTTAATGTTATCTGTTTGAGGATCGAGAATCCATTTTCTGCAAGGTCAAAGTTTTATTCATTAAAACTGCCGAGATAATTAAAACAGCTGCAATCTTAATTTTTTGTTACAATGGAATTATAAACCTATGAAAACTGTCAAACGGACAAATCAAGTTCGAAGAGAAGATTTTTATAACTGCATAATCTTATCAGGGACAAAACAAAAAGAAACAAAGACAAAATCTTACAAAATTTAAATTGTACTAACTTTCCTTTAATATCTGAGCAGATTATCTTTTTTAATCAGTCAAGGTCCCTTCAATAAATAAGCAATCAATATGCTATACTAATATACTAATGCATATCATCCATTTTGAATTTTTGACTTTGTCAGAGAGCATGTTGTACTTATGATAAAAACAAAGTCAAGTCACCATAATGTTTTACAGCACAAAACTGTCGATAACTCCTTCAAAAAATGTGTAAGAGTAGTTTTATTTTCAGGCTTTTGACAAGTTTACATGCTGATTCACACATAAAAGCAAGATTTGTTTTTCGATAGATCGACCTAAAATGAATCATAGTGGACTGATTACTAAAATTGATCATCCTGAACCTTCATTCCTTTCCTATTCTCCAAATCTGCACACGATTTTGGCAGCAGTATTGACCATATCATGCTTCAATATCTTGCTCATTAAATAAATTTCTAATTCAATAAATATTTAAATAATTTTAACAATTAAAAAAATTACTTACCCAAAGTTTATTGTAACCAGCCTGTACAGACATCCCTGACATAGAATTTGCAAGATCGTCGACACCATAGTAATTAGCTTGGAGTTGATTGTACTGTTGATAGTTTCCTACGTTGTTCTAAAAAAATTTTTTTTTAAACAAAACTATTTTTAGTTAATAGAACAAACTTTCAATCATACCTGTTGATAATTGTAGGACTGATACTGTGGCTGCTGATTGAGATTGTTTGCGAGGTAATTATCCGGAGGCCGGTTGTTGTACTGATTCTGGTAAGTTTTCGGCGGCACCTGACTCACCATAGGTGGCCCTCTCATAGGCGGTGCGGTGAGAGGTTGCGGCCGGCTCTGTTGAACGGGCTGTGGCGGCTGGCTGTACATTGGCTGCTGTTGCGGCTGGTTTAAAATCGGCTGCTGCATGGCAGGCTGGGTATAAGGCATTTGCTTCACTGTTGGCATGTGGTTTGTCTGCGATGGGATCGTTTTGGGACTGCCGACGTTACCTTGTGTCAAAGATGTCACTGGTTCCTGAAAATTATTGCAATGATGTAATAATTTCTAATTGATTTTGTTTATATATCTGTGGTGTTTTAATGCCCATTTTGACCTAAATAATAATAATAATTGAGAGATTTCTCTGCGTGATCTGTAGGAATAATGAATGAAATCTGGTCACTGTCATCCTGGTTGGACAGACCAACCCAGTGAGCAACTGAGCAAAGGCAGACCAAATTGAGCACATTTTCTCCAATAATCCTGGTTATATGTCAAACTAGGCAAACTATTGCTGACTACAGTTCATCACTCTACAGACCTCATCATGTTTCACAATGTTTCTATAATTAAACATAATCTAAAATCTAATATTTTAGAGACTTACTGTGTAAGGTATTATTCCCAGTGCATTAGTCCTCGGTGGCCCAGAAGAGATGGGGTCTTCTTGGGTAGGACGGTGAAGCTGTAGGTTTGTCGGCTGAGCGGGGTATGTCTGCATTTTTGGTGTCTGGTAATTATTGAAATTAGGAGGTATCTGAGGCAGGTATACGTTCTGTTGAAGGGTGTTTTGCACAGGAGGCCGTTGGCCGTGGTCTTGAGTATTATAAGGAGCCACTGAATTGTAAGAAGTGTCTGTTTTAGGTGGATACCCTGAGCTGTTCCAATGACTGTTCTGCACATTCTCCGGGCGATAAGAATTGGTCTGGGCATACTGGCTGTAACCGTCGCCCATGCCCAGGTGTGCCAGGGGGGCGTCGGATTTTACTGGAATGTAGTTCTCCTGCCTGGACTCTATCCTCTGAGTCTGTCCAGCATATTGGGGTTTCTGCTGGTTGAGGGGGACGGACGTCGGAGGTGGTGGCCTCTGTCCGTTGACATCACCCATGTATTCGCCGACGTTGCTCGCAATGTGCTGCCTACTCTGATTGGTATTCATGGCGTCGTAAGAATAAGAATTTTCTACTTCTTGATTTTTATAATTTGTTATATTACTATTAGGATTAATTGACTTGTCATTGCTAATATGGTTTACATTTGGAGGTAGCCGAGAAGGAGACCCATCCCTAGACGATTGTGACGAGAGGCTCGCTGAAAATAATTACAAAAAACAGTTAGAACTGGTTTTATTTCATTTATTAATAAATTATAAACTACAATAAGGTTAAATATACCTAAAATATTCTAAACCTGAAAAATTAAGGGTTTTCTAATAACAAGTTGTTTAGCAATCATATAATAAAATGCACTGAATTCCAGATTTGTCCAATACTTTCACCTCAAGTGTTCAACCATTCAAAATCCTTCCACTTGCCTCATTGAATTTTAAAAATTTATATAAGAAATAAAATATCACTGGAGAAATGATGAGTGCAAATAAAGTCAAGGCAACAAGGAATCAGAGCAGAAATAGATTTAAGAGATTTTGCTTGATTAACAGAGTTTGTGGGATATGATAAAAATTGTTACTTTGCCGAACTAATGTAGATTTTTTCTCATTATGGTTGATAAAATGTGATACTTTACACAATCACTATTAAACTTTGATAAATGTACTTAAAAACCTTCCAAAACAAATTTGCTATTATTTTCATTTTAATTATGATCCAACAGCATTAAAAGTATTCATATAAAAATAAATTAGAAATAATTGTTACTGGGTAATAAAAATTTTTAGTTTTTAATATTTGGAATTTGATTTCATTTACGAAGTATCACTATATTTTTATTTTGCAATTATTTACACAATAAAAGCATCCTAACCATTGTTAAATTGTGTCATAATTTCTTTAGAGTTCAAGGTAATTCCAGAATAATTGCTTTGTATGCACATTTTTAGAGTGCTACTACTGACTAAAAGAAGAAAAACTACCAAAACAGCGTTTTCAATAGAATCTATGTTTTTAATTTTATTTATATATTAAAACAATTTTAATATAAGCTAATAAAACAAAAATTGTGTCAAAAGAAATTTTTACAAGATGACAATGAACTAGTTTCAATGAAATACCCGCAAGAGTTCAAGGTGGCCACCATTCTCCCCCCAAAAAAATTAATAACGACCCTGAAAGTCATTCTGCATTTCTTCCCCCCCCCAAAAAAAAAAATAAATAAATAAATACATTTAAAAAAAGACATGCTATTACACCGTGAATATACCTGTGAAACATTAAAAGACCATTGGAATTTGTACAAATTAGAAGTTAAAAATTTAATTGCAAAGTCATTCATACAGCTCGACAGCGAATCCAGGAAAAGAAAGTGAATGCTTTCAATACACTCACTTTCTACAGACATTGTAATTGTTTTAGAACCTTGATTATCATGCCTCATGAATTCACCTTGAGAAGCAGAAAAATGCAAATTAATGAAAAACCCTAACACTAACAAGAAAGGTCATTAATACACAAATTATTACATATAATATTTTTACAACTATTAATTTAAAATAATTAACTGTCCTTTATGAAAAGGTTTTCTATAAATATTGAGACTTTAAAGAAAAAAAATTTAGGATAAAATGTTTGGACATAGGTCAAATATTTAGATATAAATAATATTTTCCTTGTAAGATTTTGCCCGGTTGGGTTTTAATTGTTAAAACTAACAATAACAAAATGCAAACAAAAATTTACTTTCCTCCAGTAGTTTCCATTTTAACATTTTCCAATGTCACATTATTTTTAACTTTCTATAATTACTGAGATTCCATTAGGTGACAAAATTTAAGTTGCAAGTGTGTTGGTATGGGTCATTTATTGGAATTGAGTCACAAAGTAATCGACCTCTCTGTCTCCACACAGACCGTTCAGTGGGGTCCTGAACCAGCAGAGCTGTTCATCCTCCGCACGTGTCGGAAGCTATTTAGGTGTAATTTGGCCATTTCTTGCCTCATTCACACTGAGTATAACCCTGCGGTTGGCGATTCATTTTGTACCCAAAGCCATTAAGTCTGTGTTTATCATTTTTTAATGTTTTGTCCCACACCTCGCACTCATAGAGCAGGGCTGAGTGAGCGAAGCATACTTGCCAAGGGGACCCAATTGGCATTTCATTAGAAAGTACAAAATCATATATGTATAGGTGGGACATTTTAAGCTGTGGCCTTCGGAGAAATGAAATAATCTCATAAAAATTTGCCCCACTGCATTTTAAATGCCATGCCAAATCGACGATGGAAAAGCCATAAATTCTCTTTTTACTTTGTCAATCGTTTAGTCATCATTTGTATAATTTTAATAGTATCGATTGTCTCAAATAAACTAATTGTTACTATTTATTTACATAGTTTTTTATGTGTTCTGTCTTATGAAAATTACAAAAACTTATCAGATAGCGAGAAATCATAAATGTAAAATTAATTAATCTCTTAATATGGAGCCAAATATTTAGATATTTGATAAGAATTAATTAATTTTGTTCATTAGAATTTCTCCTAGAATAAATACTAAAATCACTAATAATAAAAGCCCATAAAATTTCTATAATATAATGAATGTTATTGTGTATTTTTTAGTTTTCCAACCGTTTATTGTAGTCTGATGAAGTTTATTAAAATAACATCCTTGATGAACTCTCAAATGTTTAATACTTTTATTATTGATCTTCTGTTGCCGCTTCTCAGCAAATTTATACAAATTTAAAAAAATTAAAATTTAAAAATTAAAAAAACAAAAACAGGATGATCAGTAACAACCAAATTACAGCTCTTTATTTTATTTTGGTATTTGCCGTACGAATTAGTTGTGAATAGTGATTAATTATTTAGTTTCAATTACATTCTTTCCAAAAAAATAAATTTACAAAACTCATTGCCTACGACAATTATAATTTATGTCTATTTGAAGTACACATCTAGTAACAATCGTGATAAGCAAACTTTTATTTTCAAGGAGACACTCGAAAATGAGTAAACGATTAGACACATGGTAATATTTGATAAATTACTGCTCTTTTAAAAAAATTAAAACTTATGTAATTTTTTAAAATATACGTAATTCTAGGAAATAATAAACGGACTGATTAAAAGTAATGATAAAAATGAAATTACTATGACAAGATATGATTTTTTTCGTATGAATGTCTCTTTTTCATTATTTCCGAAAGATTAAGCGTTAATTTTGTTGGAAAATAGTTTTTTTTCTTACTAAACTTCAAGGAATTGCGATGATTAAAAAATGCCACACATGCCAAGACAATTGCACCCTGTATTTTTTATCATTGGAAGAAATCGAGATTTGAATCTTTTCAATGTCCCTTGACAAAAAACTGATATCAGGCATTACGGACGAATAATAATGCTAAGGGTTAAAAACAATTGAATTTTAGAAAAGAACAAAAACTAAAAACTTTATAGTATTTAATTTTTATTATAGGTGGTCTGAATTGTTTTTAATAGATTATTTTAAGGTTTCAATATCAATTTTGTACAGAACAAACACTCAACAGGATAAATTCTTTATTAAATGCTCTATTTCTTAAATCTTTGAAAGGGGTAGTCAAAAATTTAAAAAAGTTAATATTTTGAACTTTGGACTTATGGCTATTGGAGTACCAAAACAATAGTTAATCTAGTCAATTGAGCCCCCAAGAGGGCAAATTTTCATGAGGAATTTATATCCTAATTCTTAAATATTGGGCCCAGACCAAAACATTCCTACCTAAAATGGATTTTACTGTTTGACTACCTAATGAAATCTGAATAATTACAAAAAACCTGTCAAAGGGGCAGGCCAAAACAAAAAATTAATAGTTTACATTTTGGACTAAATGTGTGTGTCTAGTGGTGTTCCAAAATGACTGGAACATTAACAATTTAAATTATTTAAAGGAATACAAATTTTTTACCTTTACTATTATCAATTTGGTCGACTGAGCCCCAACAGGAAAATTTTTTTACCTAATTGTTCAATTGGCCCAAAACGTATTTAAATAAATTCCATTTTGCTATTGTCAATTTAGCCAATTGAGGCAAATTTAAATGTGGAACTTTTGACATAAATTTTTAAATATTTGGACCAAAGCAGTCCTGCCATAAATGGATTTTACTCTCTGATCACTACCTCATGAAATCTCAACAATTACACAAAACATTTCAAAGGGGCAGGCTAAAAACAGAAAATGAATATTACAAAATATTTGTAACATTTACAATAATCAAATTACTTACAGGGAATACGATTTTTTGTCTTTTAATATTCGCAATTTAGACTACTGAGACCCAACAAGACAAATTTTTGACGTAATTTGTAATTATGATTACTACGTCATGAAATCTCAATAATTACAGAAAACACGTCAAAGGGGCAAACCAAAAACAAACAATGAATATTCATTTTGGACTAATAGCTACAATAGTGGTGTTACCATATAACAGTAACATTTACAATAATATAATTATTTAAATAAATAAATATTCTTTTCCTTTTGTTAATGTCAATGTGGTCGTTTGAAACCCAAAATTTTTTATATGGAATTTTTGACCTATTTCTTAATTAGTAAACATTTATTAAAAATGAACGTTATATATTTCAGACTTAAGGCTAGTGGCATTCCAGGATAATTTTATTATTTAAACAAAACACAAATTGTTTAAACAAACAGAATTTCTTTCCCTTTCATTACTGTTAATTATTCAGATATCGTGAGATGCGGTCGGGTGTGATGTAGGTTTCAGAAAAACATTTTCTTTATCGTGCCAACGTTTCGATCTTTTATTGAGATCATCTTCAGGGCTCAAAGTGTTTGTCTTCTGTGTAATTGTGCCATCCTTGTGTGTCGTGTTGAGAGTACCCGTAAGTAACCCCTACGAGATTGGTACATGGTTAAAAAAACCTTCCTTTCACGCTAATGAATTACATTCATTTCATTAAATTAACATAAAAACAACAGAGGCACAATACAAATTTCTATTTTCATAATCTCACTGGCACTCTCAACAACACGACACGCAAGGATGGCACAATTACACAGAAGACAAACACTTTGAGCCCTGAAGATGATCTCAATAAAAGATCGAAACGTTGGCACGATAAAGAAAATGTTTTTCTGAAACCTACATCACACCCGACCGCATCTCACGATATCTGAATAACTATCGATTAACGGTCACTAATCTCTACACATTACTGTTAATATGGACATTTGAGACCTAATAGGAAAAAATTTTGTGTACAATTTTTGACCGATTTTTTAAAAATATTATGACCACACCAAACATTCCAACTTTAAAAGGATTTACTAACACCTACCTCATGAAATCTCAACTATTACATAAAACCCGGAAACAAAATATGCCTCTTTTACATTTTAGAATAATGAACAGTACAGTTCCAGAAAAATTTTAACGTTTACAGAGGTAAAATTATTTAAACAAACTTTTTTTTTACTTTTGCAACTTTCAATTTGGTCAATTGAGAGCCAATAGAAACCTATTTTTATGTGGAATTTTTAACCCAATTCTTAAAAATTAGGCCCATAACAATTTATTCGTACCTTCAATGGATATTACTAGCCGATTACTACTTTATGAAATCTCAATTATTACATAAAACTTTCAAAGGGGCAGGCCAAAAACAAAATATGCTTCTTTTACATTTCAGAATAATACCCAGTGGTATTCCAGAAAAACGTTTACAGAGGTAAAATTATTTAAATAATTTTTTTTTAAACTTTCAATTGAGTCAATTGAGAGCCAATAGAAACTATTTTTATGTGGAATTTTTAACCCAATTCTTAAAAATTTGGTCCCGTCCAAAATATTCGCATCTTAAATGGATTTTACTGGCCAATTACTAATTCATGAAATATCAATTATTACATCAAAAGTTTTAATAGAGGGAGACCAAAAACAAAAAATAAATACTTCAAAATATTTGTGGAAATAGGTAATAAGACAACAAATAGGAAAATACTGAATACAATGTGTGGTGTTTAGTGGCCGTTAATTAATGATTATTTTTTGATCGTGAGATGCGGTCTGGTGTGATATAGGTTTAGAAAAACATTTTCTTTATCATGCCAAACTTATTATATTTAAATTTATTATTATTAAATTATAGAAATACATGTATTACCATAGAAATACATGTATGACTCAATCAGTACAAATACTTTGAGTCTAAAATTGTATTACAAATGTAATTGTATGGATTGTACGCAAATGTTGTAAATTCATTGTATAAATTCGTTTTTTCACATAGTACATGTATTTGTATAATCAAAACAATGTTTATAAATCTCAGGCCCTGAAGATGATCTCAATGAAGATTGAAACATTGGTACGATAGAGAAAATGTTTTAGAAAATGTCACGCCAGACCGCATCTCACGATCAACAAATAATTACTGAATACAATTTTTTACCTTTTGCTATTGTGAATATGGTGAATTCAGACAACACAGGGCATACTTTTGACCTGTTTTTTTTAAATAATAGGTGGTACAAAAAAAAATCAAAACCCTTAATGGCTTTTACTGTCTTATTGTTAGTAGTGAAACCTCAATAATTATAGACAACCCTTAATAAGGGCAGATGAAAAACCCTGTTTATTAATTATTGTTGAGAAATGGTTTATTTCTCACTAAAGATTAATAAAAACAGGCTTTCACCCCATGGATTTTAGGCTTTTTACTAATTGGAATGTTAATTGTAATAGAAAACCTTTTCAAAGGGCACGCCCAAAATAAAATTCAATTCAATATTTTATTTTAAACAGTGACATTGGATTTGGCAATAGTAAGATTATGTGAAATGGTGTATTATTAATTATAAACTTTTTGAACAATGGAATCTTTGAAAGGATGAATTTCGTTAATTCAGTCAGTTAATCAGTGAGATTTGAGGGTTTTAAATGAAGAGATAAGTGGCAATTGTGCATGTTCATAGGCAAGATATAAAAGGGCACGTTTTGAAAAAAGATAAAGTGGATGGGAAATTAATTCAATTTTCTTTGCTTGGGTTGTAAAATGGAAATGGATAAATTATATGGGGTGGAAATTGTGTTGGTGAGAAAAGCCGCCACCTGCGATGAGTGTCGGCCAGCGGCCGGTGCACTATCGTCGTACGTCGGCCCTTCCTCATCCGTCCTTGAACGGGGCGAAAAAAGGGGAAAAAATGCGCCGAGGGCCGGGCCGAAAATGCCTACACGTGTCCCGTTCTGTGCAATTTCCCCATCCGTGAAATCGCGGCTCTCCGCGTATTGTTTACCTGGGTAGCTGGTCGAGGACGGGGTCGGTGTGCCGTTTCCGGAATTGCTGGCCGAATAGTTGTAAGGCTGGCCGTTCATAATTACCGGGCAGAGTTTCCCTCAGAATTTTCCTCTTCCGACGGCACTTTCCTCTTACAGCATCCGCTCCTAACCTCCACAGAGGGCACACGTCGACTCGTGATAACTGGCTCCGGATCGACGTAGAACGGTTTGACGCTTCCTCTCCGGACGCACTGATCGCTCCTCAAACCGTCTCTCCTACACTCGAATCACTCCGACTCCTGGAAATACTCCCTCGGCTGCGGGTTCTCTATTCGATCAATTCGATGGGAAAATTGTATAATTACATTTTTCACTACGGATTTCTCGTCCTCTTTTTTTCCTTTCTTCGCACGTCCCTGCTTCCTCCGCTCGGGCCAACTTCCTTTTGCGATTCGATATTCCGTCAAATAATTTAAATAATAAATATAACAAGAGCGAGGAGGGCACACTAGCCTAAATAGAAGCAGACTGGCGGAAGCTGTCAAGAAGTAAAAGGTTACGTGGCCGACGACGGCCGACTCGGAAACCTCGCCTTCATCATCATTGGCGCCACTTACAAAAAAAAATGATGATGCTTATTGCTTAGATTTGCCTTCTTTCTTAAAAAAAAGACCTGCTTCTCTTTGGTGCTTTTTCCCTCGTTGATGGATTTCTTTTCTATTTCACCAAAAAAAAGAATTAAAAATCACGAGAAAACTTAACAAATAATAAATTGAAAAAATTGATAGCCAATGCCTCCCCAGACAGCTCTAAATGCTTTCCAGGACTATAAGATCTTCTCAAAACGTCTGAAACTGCCTAAATATCTTTAAAAAACAAAAAACTGCAAATAGTCCAACCCGAAAGTGGATCCCATCCATGTATTGAGACACCACACTTAGCATGAAAAATGGCATTGAAACAACTCATAAACCCATACCCGTACATAAACAACAGCCCCGTTAAAAGAAAACTAATCTTGGACTTAAAGACTATTAAAGAAATATTGAAAGCATGATGCAAGAAAAACTACTCGCAAAATATTCCTTTAGAAAAGCCCCTTCATTCACACTAATAAATTACATTCACACTGCCCCAGAGTATTCTATTCCTCAGGGTTATTGGGGATAAGACCTTCCATTTGTGTTATTAAATTACATTTACGTAGTATTTTACACTACCCCAGAATACTTCTTTTCCTCCAGATAAATGAGAATAGTTAGGAAAAGCCTGCGACAAAGAACTCGTCAGCAGGGGTCGAGATGCAACCATCTGTAAATAAAGAAATAATCAGCCACCGTTTCTAAAATAAAGACAAATAAGGAGAAATGACAAACAGAAAGAAAATAAATCCTATAAAAGCCTAATCGGACTAGGTACAGCAACTAATAAAAGAAAACAAGACAGGATAATTGGGAATAAGCCTCTTCATTCACACTAATAAATTACATTTATATAGCACAATTCATTTACACTACCCAAAGTACTTGATATTCCTTATGGTTATTGGGAATAAGCTCTTCCATTCATGCTAATAAATTACATCCACACAACCCCACTATATTCCTCAAGGCAATTGTGGATGGAAATAGGTATGAAGTTATAATCCTTCTCTTTTCATTCGTTTCCATTTACATTTTAGACATGTTAAATATTCTACTTTAGTTATTTTTCTAATATCGAGAATTATATTATGAAATTATATAAATTGTTTCTTTTGTTGGTTTCCTTTTCACATGAGGCACAAAGGTAGGCAATGAAGGAAACAAAAAGAATATTACATTTTTATTAACATTTCAAATAAGACACCAATGTAAATCTTCCGACTTAAAAGTAGATTACAGTAATGCACTAATCCAATTAATTACAATAAAAAGAAAACAGTCAATTTATTTTAGATAAATATTTAAAGCTCTCAACATTACAATGCTATTACACACATAGCAAGGTCTTCCAGCTGTTCACATAGTCTTGAAAAAGTAATCAATGTGCTAAAGTATAGATAGGGGAAAAGTAGTAAAACTCGTATTAAATACTGGTATTAAAAAGCTAATGTTTTATTTTAAAGAAGTATTGTCATAGTTTAAAATTACAGTCAAGCGTTAACCGAATCGCATAAAAGCGTGAGGATCGTTTCAAAAGTTTCCTAAAATAAAATCATCTTAGATAAAATTCTGAAACCAATAAAATTTTCTTTGACAAGACTACGATTGTCGCCAGATTTGGTTGTTCATGATGGCTTGCCATTAGTGAATGTAAAAAGGACGCTGAATTAGTTTAATTTGAAAGAGTTAATTAAATTTTGCCTTAGCCATTATTGAATTTATTGAACAGCAACAGTGCTACATGTTTAACTTATGCTATCAGAGCAATTAAGCAAATAAGATAACTCCATAAATTTATTTATTTTTGAAAATTAAAGCTTTCAACATGGAGAAAATATCACAATCATTAATTATTTAAATACAATATTTAAATTGTGTATTTACATTATATATATATATATTTTTTTATAAGTAATCTATAACATGATAATTATATCTATTCAAAGAGGAACTATCAATACCTGCAGTGTTTTTTCCATACTAAGAAGAATATCTAAAATAAAGCTAAAGGTAATAAATAAAAAATGTATTGAATACATTTTAAAATTTAAAAATGTATAGGTATGGCATAAATTTTAATTTAGACAAAATTGTAATTAACTGAATGTTTTTATGTCTTTATGGTATATGTGTGTTCAAATCAGGGTATTTTGATCGCAAAATTATGCTTCTTAAGATAAGGATGAATTTTATAAAAATAGCTGTACATATTTTCTTTACATTTCGCAGGCTGATAATTCTCCTTTGAAACAATTGCATTATTAAAAGACACGCCATTTTCAATGGTATATGTGTGAACTTAAATTGCATTTCATTTTGAAGCTGATAAAAAGTGAAAGTTTCAGACTGTATGAAGTAAAAACAAATTCTCACTCTTTATGCTTAGAAAAAAGAAATTTTCTTCGATTTACTCACAGATAAAAATGACTGAATTGACAATTTGATTGGTCGATTCGAACATAAAATCACTTCTGGATCAGCCTGATAGTAAAAATCTGAAAATTTCTATTTAAAAAAAAAATCTAAGCTCATATTTAAAATAATTAAATCTTAAATATATGTGTAACAAGGAATGACTGCAGCTCACAAAAAGCTAGGACGACACACAGTTCACACTAGAACTTTTATGTAAGTTAAAACAGTAAAGAGAATTGGAGAAAAGACAACTCAAAGCTCCCACAGACGTGCAACGGTCGCACGCTTTCCGCAAAGAATTAGTACGTTTAATATTTTGTTCCATAAAGCCTAATGAAAGTATTAATCTATATTGGCGGGATTTTCAAAACTTCAGCCGTTGTCCAACATCGTCGCCAGCCTTGTAACTTGGTCACGGAGGTCGGCTAGTGAATCACCGAGGATCGTCGAGTACAGAGCCTTCGGTACTCCGGCCTCACAAAGGTGTTTACGCAATTCGCCTGAAATACACAAATATATATATACATATATACATATATACACGTCAGTTGGAAATTAGAAGACATACTAGAATTGACGAGTTGGCCAACGAAAGCTAAAAGATTGTGAAAGACCTCCCTCGTTGGCGTTGAAGCGAGGAATTTAGTTATTGCCTGACCTACGTTTGCATTTAAAAGACGCATCGTCGCGTCCTGTCCTCTCATCGCCATTGTTAAATTCAAAGCGAGGAAAGCTTCCCCGTGCATGATTACATGTTCGGTTGCTGTCATTTTTACCAAGCGTTCAATGACTCCGCAGGATACAAGTTTGCCGATTACGTCTCTATCTCTGATGTGACGAATTAAGTCATTAAAACAATTTTTAATAATTAAACAAAACCTTTTTTTAAATTACCTGCTATTTTTAATAATCCAGACCAAAAGGCGATAAGCTTCGCCCTGTACACCGGGATGATCGTCGGTGTCGCACCATGGCACCACATGGTTTACAATCAAGTCTTCTCGATTACCCAATTCTGAAGCAGCTTCAGCTTTAAAATTATAAAACATAAAAGTCAGCCTTAAAACAAAAGCAGACATTTCTAAAATTAAATTTAATTAACATCTTTAGTAGGTACCTGTCACTAGTATTGCAAGTAAAATTATTAAAGATTTTTTGTTTAAATATCTGTCCAGTTTGCTTATTCTATAGCTTAATTAAAAATCAATAAAAAAATATTTATTTACAGTTTATGCTCTGTAATATTTTATTTTATTCTATTTAATTATTAAAATTAAGGTCTATTTTAACAAAATTGGCTTACGTTGGCCGTCTATGACTATCCTCAAGGTGCCGAGGAGTTTAAAAACGACGGGAAAGGTTGGAATGTTAAACATGGGATAAAGCGCCTGGAGGAGGCCTTGTTGAAGGACGATCCCTTTGTTGACGGACGGTATTACCAAATTCCTACAAACATGCAAGTGTAAACATTTTATTTTTTCTGACCGTTTTTAAGTTTAATACCTCAAAGCACTCAGCAAGGCGTGCTGAAGGCGGATCTTTGATCCTGAAGTGTTGTTTTGCGACAGTATACTGAGAAGTTTTTTACTGACCCCTTGGCTTACCATTTGTGTACAGTGCATGTCTAAAAAAAAATAATTAAATTTAACAAATAACGACATAATTATATTATTATTATTGATTATTACCAGTCCGGGCAAAATTAGCTATGGCCAATACAGCTGTCACTTGAAGATCGTCATCTTGAGAGTCAAGCCATGAAATCATGCCTTCAAAAACCTTTCCTTTGCCGTTGCCAAAAGCAACTTGCATACTCGCATCTATAACACAAAGTGATTGTTGACCATTTATGTCCTAAGTTTATCTATGAAGTAATGGTTATACAAAAATAAAACAAAATATGGAAGAGAATAAAAAAAAATTGCATAAGGCAAAACGTTCCTATTTCTTTCAAATAAAAATGGCACAAAGCAGTTTTCCTTGTTACTTTCAAATAAACATTGCATGAAGCAAAATGTTCCTCATTCTTTTCAAACAAAATTGTACAAGGCAAAGTTTTCCTCAAGCTTTTCAAATAAAAATTGCACAGTGCATTTTCCTCATGCTTTTCAAATAAAAATTGCACAAGGCAAAGTTTTCCTTATTCTTTTCTAATGAAAATTGCACCAGGCCAAGATTTCCTCGTTATTTTCTAGTAAAAATTGCACCAGACAGTGTTCCTCCTTCCATTCAAATAAATTTTGCAAAATTGCATGGGGCAAAGTGTAAGTGTTCCAAAAAACAAAGGATTTAAAATAATTACTAAAAACATAAAATAAAAAATCAGAGAAAACTTGTCAACACTTTTAGTTTGATAATGAATAATAATTAAATTACCTCCATTTAAAATGATAATGATTAGATCACAGGCCATTTTTAACAGATTTCTCGTTTCATCATCATCAACCAGACTGCTGTGTTTCTCCATCAATTCTATCAGTAATTCGCAAAGGCCTGCTTTTGCCAAATGGAGTCTTACATCCTCTAAAAAAAAAAAAAATAAATTGTTTAATATTAAAAAATAAAGCATAAATAAAATAGAATTACCATTTTCTGCTTCCCTATGAAGCAGCTCGACGCATAATTCACTCAGTTCACCATTAGTTGATTCTTCTAATATTTTTACAGTGACACCACAAAGCTTTTCATTAATGAAAATTTCAGTTCCTAGAATAATTATACAAATTTTTGTAAGTTATGATTAAAAGTTTTATACTTTTTTTTTTATTTACCTGAGTCAGTCATTAGCCAAAGAGTAACATAAATATGGATGGCTGTCTGTTCAGCCTCTTTCGTACTAACACCATAAGTCAGTATATCACATAAAATTTCCACAACACCAAGCTCGACAAGCTGAATAAATAATGTTAATGTGTGATACCGTTAAAACAAGAATTGGAAAATTACCTTGGGGTACAATTTCTCTTGGCCCATGATGAAGTTTATAAAACAGCCAGCGGCGTTCATTCTAAGGTTCAGATCGCATTCAGGTAGAGCGCAGATCTTCAACAGATCGACCATTACTGTCAGACCGGAATGTTGGAGAAAACAACTCCTTCCTTCAACTGCAAATTGAATCGTTTTTAAAAACAAAAAATAAAATAATATTAAAACAGCGATTACCATTTTCAAAACAAATATTTCCTACGGCCCTGCAGGCCTGATTTCTGGCTCTGTTGTCATTCGATCGCATGAGATCGACCAACGGCACTATGACTTTGCTGTTCGAGAGAGATACCCTAGGCGTTTCAGATTTGCACAGGTCACCTATGACTTCTGCGGCTTTAGTTTCTATCTCAATATTTCCGCATGTGAGAAAATTAGACACCTCATTTGCCCATTTTATAATATCTGAGAAATAAACACGAATTTTTTAAATATTGACATTTTTTTATTTTTTTTATAAATATATTTTTACAGATATAAAATTTACCAATGTTTTCAACTGCTTCAGAATCATTAACTTGAGATATTAGGTTATCAAGAGATTCGATGACTTCAGCATTGTCATTTCCGACTTGCAAATTCTCAAGTAGAAGAGGAAGTTTCTCAAAATCTACAACAAAGGCAAAATAAATTTAAATTTGATCAAAAACTGCATCTTAACTATGAATATTTTTTATACAAAAATTTAAAAATGTTTTTTTAAGTTTTTTATTTGGTATAGTTAATATATACAACCATTTTTGAACAAAATAATTATTACTTGGTTAACTTTATGTACAACACTTATTTTCTCTTGTTATATTTTTATTTTTGCACTGCACAAGAATTTATAGTTTATTGTATGTTGTTTTGGTGTATGAGGAAAGCAGAATTTCATAGTTTATATCTTCTCCTAAGATGCTACTTCTTTCTTTTTTTATATCTTTTGCATCTCATTATGATGTGCTGAAGATCTTCCACGGAACCACACACTTGGCATTGAGGTGACTCCTTTTTTCCTATCTTATTGAGATAGTCGCCACATAGCCCATGATTCGTCAGCATTCTATTTATGGTCGTGGTCTGCGCCATATCGTAGTGATCTCCACAGTAGCAAGGCTCTCGTCCTACTAAGGGGAAAATTCTCTTAAAAAATTAGCCTGCTCCTGCGGATGAATACACCAATTGCCAGTCCATGAGAAGAGTCAAATGTAGGGATCTTTTTATGTCTTTTTTTGAGCTGGTATGGCCAATGTGAGTCCAGACTCCGTTTGCTTTTTTGGTTAATTTGTCGGCTATTTTATTACCTTTTATCCCCACTTGCGTTTGTATACACACTAATGAAACTTCCAGCCCATCTGACTGTATTTCTTGGATACACTGGAGAATTCTCATTACTAAATGCTCCGTGATAAAACCTTTCTCATTCCCTTTTAATTTTTCCACTTTAAAAGCTGCTTTTACTAAATGAGCAGACCACCGTGTGCCTAATTTGTTCTTGATTTGCATATTCTAGTGCCTTTAATATTGCGACCAATTCTGCAGAGTTCATTGAAAGATTTTCTGGCAGTTGAAGCATTGGTTTCAGATTTGTTATGGGGTCATAAAAAGCACAACTAACTCCCTTAGTTGAATATGTAGTGTCCGTTTGGAAAACTGGCCTTTAATTTGGACCGACACAGTTGGTTTGCAATGCTAGCTGGGTGTTGGCTATATTCGTTGCAAAATGTTTAAAAGATTTAATGTATTTTTTTTTAATGCTTAAAAATACATTATTACAACAACTCAAGCATCCAATTGACCAGTGTCACCAAAAATGTATGCATAAAGTAAGCAAAAATAAAATCTGGAAAAGATAACTTGAGCAGCAAAACTACATCTAGAATGAGGTGAGAAGATTTACGAAAGAAACAAAAACTAACATGCCTGTTTACAGTTAAAGATAAGAAACTTTTGAACAAAAGAATCTGCCAAAGATATCTTCGCCTGTGAAGCAAAAACTAGAACTATGAAATTTTTTATAAGTAAAATTGACAGAATAATCACCCACAGATCTTCAATTTTCAATCGCATGATATAGTTTATTAACTTAATCCAAATCAAAACTTCTAGTACTGCTTATGGTAAGTCCTAATCGAAAAGGTTTTAAGAGAATAATGGTTCATAGGGATTTAATCATCCCAAATTAAAACCAGTACCATCAAAATAAATAAAATATCAGTTTTTATGTGACTCAAGATGAAACACAACTGGACAAACTTTCTTAGCTGTCTGACAGTCTGAATTCAATTGCATGTTTTCTTTCATTGTGGTTTGTAATGTGCACACATGCAAAAACAAATAAAGCAAACAATTATATTTTTTTAAAAAGGTGAAATATTGATATTTTGGGTGAGTTGTTTGCTTGCGAAAGGATTTTTGTAGCAACCCTGTGTATTTTGTATGCAGTCCTGGCCATGGATAGTGTGCCATTTATGATATTTCATGGGTTTATTTATTGATAAAGATGTATATTTTCTTTATGTTGATGCTTATTAAGTACGGGATGCTTTGTTTTTCTTTGAAGCCGTGCTAATAATTAAATTTCGACAATTTATACGAACCTCCCATTGATAAGCCTGTAGTTTGAATTCTTTTGAGTCTAGAAAGGCGAACCGTGATATACAACGGCGAATACAGTTTAATTAATTAATTAAAGGAATTAATTCATTGCTGAGAAATCAACAGAAGTGGAGTTTTTATATTCTGACAATCCGGTCAGCACAATCACAATCGTCTGTTGTATTATGTATATCGTTGACAACTTTCAGCCAAAGGGGTGGCGACGTCAGCGTAGACTTTCAGAGGTCATCGTCACTAAAAACAACCGCCTTGCATGTATGATATTTAAATAAGTTAATTAATTAATTAATCGTACTGTTAAAAACCATAAAAATGAAAGCTTAAAAACTTCAATATAAAAATCCCTCCAAACATTTCCCTAAAAGTATGAAATCAGACTAAAAGTTAGACATTTTCATATGAGACATTAAGCTCAATCAATCTTCTTTAATTTATAATTAAATATATCCAATAATCATTAAATTGACAAATCTTCATGACTGGAAACTGCTTAATTAATTTAAATTGCGTGTAGAATTAGTTTAATTTTTTTTTATAACACATCTGCTTCATATTTGTCAAATCTTTGTTTTCAAACTGCTGCCCAATCTACGAAAAAGTAAATAATTAAGCTAGATGAGATGCCGTCAGGGTTATAAGCAGGGAGAGGCAAGGCATTGACTGTAATTCAGCTAGAATTCTGCTGATGAAAACTAATCAATTTTATAGGCTAATGCAAAAAATTAATTAATTAAATAAATAAATCAACAAACAAATAAAACTTTAATTGAGTTAGATGGCATGATACCACGGTTGCAAGCAGTGAGAGACAAAGTATCTTCCATCTTCAGATAAAATTTAATTTTTGTTAATTAGATCAAAAATTTACTGATTTTTCTCACACTGTATCTTAAACTCACTCAAACTGGTGTAAAATCTAAAATGTTGTAATTGAATTAGATGAGGTGATGTCAAGGTTATAAGCAGGGAGAGGCAAAGCACTGACTATAAATCAGCTAGAATTCTGGTTATGAAAACTAGTAAACGTTCACATTTTTGCAGTTGTCGAACGAAAAATTGTAAATGAAAGAATTTCTGTTTTATAGGCTAATGCAAAAAATAAATAAACAAACAAACAATTAAAACTTTGAGTTGGATAGCATAACATCAAAGTTGTAAGCAGTGAGAGGCAAATGATCTTCAATTTTTCAGATAGAATTTGATTTTTGGGATGATATGAACAAAAAAACTACTGATTTTTCACACCCACTAGCATTCAAACTAGTGTACAATCTGAAATGCTGTAATTGAGTTCAATAACATCAGGGAAATAAGCAAGACGAGGTAAGATACTGACTATTGCAGCGAGAATTTTGGTGATGATACAACTCATGAAAACTAGTGATTTTTTGTAACTTTTGCAGCTTTCAAACTGCTGGTCTTTAAATTAAACTTTAATTGGTTTGTAAGCAGTGAGAGGCAATGTATTGTCAATTTTGCAGACAGGATTTGATTTTCGACATGGTGAGAACAAAACCACTTCTGATTTTTATACTCTGTGGCTTTCAAACTGGTATAAAATAAACTAAAATCATGTAATTAAGTTAGATGAATCATCAGGGTCTCATGTAACTCATCACTAGAATTTTTATGACCTGAAAGAGTCATTTTTAATTATTTAATAAACACAGCGTTCTTATCGCATTCTGGCCAATGCCTTCTATCTTTTAACATTTTTTAAACTAAAACGAACTACTATGATTATTAAATAATTAAAAATGACTCTTTGTAAAAATAATAATACAAATTAACTTATTCAAATCCGTTCAAATACATCAATCATGAAAACTAATGATTTTTCTCATATTTATCATTTTCAAACTGATCAAGCTAGTCTTTAAATAAAACTATAATTGTGTTAGATATCAGGATTGTAAGCAAGGATAGGCAATTAATCTTCTTTCAGGCAGAATTTGAATTTTGAGTGAGAAAAACAAAAACAAAACAATTTTTAAAATTCTGTAGTTTCCAAACTGGTGTCTTTTAGCTGTATTGAGTTGGATACTAAAATGTTAGGGTTATAAGTAGAGACACAAAGCTGGATGTATTTCCAAAAGTGGATTTTTATGATGATTAAAGTTTAAAAAATTTATACATTTGAATCTTCTAAACTTTTGTCCTTTCTATAAATATGTAGTTGAGTTAGGTGAGATGCCGTCAAGATTACAGGCAGATAGGGGCAAGATACTGTGTTTATACAACATTTTTGTAATAAATAAGGTAGACAATTTTTTCTTTCACATTCTTGTTGTTTATAAAAAACTGTCATTGAGTTAGACAGCTCGATTTCTGGGTTATAAGAAGGGAAAGCCAAGGCATCCACTATCTTTCAGCCAGAATTGGATTTTGCTGCCAATTAAGGCAAATTTTGTTTTCTTTTCATTTTGTTGGACTTTTATTAAACCTGCAAATCTGTAATGGTTTAGGTTTTTTACATTTTGCTTATTCTCTAGTGTTACATCTAAGTCTACATACATAAACCTTTAACAGATACAACTTTAAAATCTTGAAAATATTTTTTAAATATATTTATTGTTTGTTAAATCACATGTGCAATAAGATTAATTACCATTAAATGTTAATGGACATTCTTTTTAGCCTGTTCTTCTGATTCTGTTGGTGGAAATATTTTCTTTTTTATCTGGTAATATAAAAGTGTTGTACCGATCACTCCATATACTAACTTGACACACTGAAAGAAGAAGGGGAAAAAATTACAAATAAGTTGTTTGACACATTAAAAATGTAATTTTGTAAAAATGCTATAAATATAATAGAATATGATGGACATGAGAAGACATAAACTTAAGAAAGCATCTTACATTTGCTCGTCCTGTGTCTGTAGTGCTGTTGAACCTTTTACGTAGCAGTGCCAAGTCACTAGCAATTTGTTTCTCTGTTTCACTTGCCATACTGAGAAGAAATGTTTTTCTCAGGTATTCAAATAAAAATTAAAATCAAACCTCCTGCTGAAAGAGAAAACAAACTGAATAAGCTGGCATATATTGTGTGATAACTTTTACAATTATGCTGATTTATAAAGAATAAGCAAGATTTATTTAACAATGTAGGTGTAAATTATTTTAAAAAATTGTGTGGCCAGCATCCACCGTCATTGCCAGCTCAATTTATAATATAAAGGAAACCAAGTTACTATTCATTGGCTGATCCTCAGTACACCTAAAAAATCAACACAAGAAAAATAAGATGCTAGTTTAATTCTTCTATATACATAAATGTATATCTGTGTAAATGAAATCACATATATCCAAATTAAAAAAATTACACATATCCAACCACCTATTTTGTCAATTTACTCAAAATTTAAAATTACTCGATGGGTTGGGGCCAGGATGGACCAATGAGTCCAAAATGTACAGAATAAATGAAAGATTTTTTAACATCAAGTAAAAATTCATGGAAGATATAGCAATACATATATACAATTTTTCAGGGAGATATAAACAGTGCATTTATGTCCTATGTGCCTGGTCTTAAACAATAAAACAGAAATATAAAGAATTTTTTTAGTAGATGTCAGACTAACCAAAGGTGTTTAAATAGGCCATTTAAATTAAGTGTCCAGCATGTAGAGAAACATTGCTCAACTGTTCCTCTTAATTGAATTCCCTAACCATCTTCATATAGAGATGGTTAGAAAGCGAGTAAGAATGCCACCCAGGTTGTGCTAGAATATTTGGGTGGCCTATTCCGATTTTTGAGAGAAACAGGGCTGTTTTACTGTATTTAGTATTGATAGATATATGTTGAGACTAAAAATATTTATTAGCATGAATGTGTAGTGTGAGAGGGCCAATGGTGGAATATTGAGTACCCCCATCCACCGTCAATTAGATTTGTTATATGTGAGGAAGGTGATGGAGGAATATCAAGTACTCCACAACCCTGAATGGATGTACATAAATGGGAAACAATGGACTTAAGAGGGAGTGAGTTTGGATTTAGAAACTGTTGTGTTAGGGCTGAAGGTCATTTCAGCCCGTGTAAAATAATACTTTAGCCTAAAACTAAATAGCTTCTAGAATACAGTCACACAAATAAATACATTCACTCATATGAACACAATACACATATAAAACAGATCTACATACAATACAAAACACACTACACGCTCTCTGTAAGGAGCCCAGCTACAAGCTTCTATTATGTGTGGGCTGATGTTATTGACCTCCATGTTGTTTATGGGATGACATTTAAGGACTGCAATGTTTTATGAATAATTAATAGTCGTTAAATTTTGCATAATGAAAAAATCTTTATCAATAATTGATAGAGATAAAATAGTACATTATAATTTTTCTACTTTACAGGTGAATTTTAGCAGCAAATGTTTTGATGTATTTGGGCAGTGCCATTTAAATTTTATTCTTAAACAAGTACGAACAGTATTTTGTTGTATGTTTAGTCTTAGAAATTAATGAAATTTAAGAAAAAATAATGTTTTTGATAGGCATTATGACACTAATTAATATGCATGAGCAATGTCGTATTAAGCCAGAAAATAATGCTTTTCTTGGTTTAATTAGTACAGTTTTATGTGTTTTTAGATAATGTATTTTAAAAATATTTATGTTGATCAGCACTAGGGAAATGTTTATGAGCAAGGTCTCTTGTATTGACTGATAATTGAATTCTATGATGTTTATAGTATGATTCGTAGAGCTTCACAATCTTTTATTTACCTTTGAAATAATTGTTTAGAGAATAATTGAAGACTGGATTCTTCAATTATTGTAAAATGCCATATTAAAAAAAATAAAAATGATATAGGCGTGTTTGAATTTGATATCCAATCACTACCCCCTCTTATGTTCTTATGTTGCAACATTCCCCAACTCTTTTTCAGTATCCGCAGTACCTTTCAGTAACCTTACCCGCTGACAAATTTTCCGTCACTTTAACAATTCAGAGTGGAAATTAATCAAAAAATTACCTGCCAAATCGAATAATTATTTTGACGATGTCACTGCAACTGCCGCCCTGCCCTCCTTCGCTAAAGAACATCCAGCATTATTTGAAGACAGCTAGTGAGCATGAAACAAGGGATCCTGTTGTCACATACTGGTGTAAGTTTATCCTTTTTTTAAATCTATTTAATAATGTTAAGCGATGTTTGGTTTTCAGCTGAACTACGTCTATCCTACTCGGGTAATAAATCATATGTCGAAAACTGTCTGGGTTTAATCTTTTTTCAGTTTTTACATTATCAAATCACATGAAAATATACTTTAATTTCTAATTCTGATGGTTTTAATTGTACTAAGGGATGTATAAATAAAGCTGTTTTATGGCTCGAGCTGATTTCGATGCAATAAACTGCTACATGACTGATTTTCTCTGGTATTGCAGCATATGTCTTATGCTCAAAACGCACTGGAATTGTCAAAAAGCCTGAAGTGTTTCAGGCTGTTTGAGGCAAACGGGGATGACCATCTTAGTAGAAGGTACATTTGTTACCTGCGCTTTTACTCGTCAACCCCCTAGTTGAGTTCTAGCAAAGAGTGAAAATGAGGGGAGAGTGGGAACATGGTAAATTATAGAAAAACAACTGAACATAATTGCATTCTTATTAATTGTACATTGGTATGCAAATGGAATGCTATGAAGCCTGAAATTTGTAGTGTTTCCTATTGGCCGTGATGCTTGATATGTGTCTCCTGCGGATAACAAGAGTCAGTTTTACTGTACACTCAGTAAAAAAAGTCTCTGGTTTGCCCAGAATAAGCTCCAAATTCTTCTTTATCATTATTTTTGTAAATTTTAATATATTATTTAAAGGGTATTGAACATTTAAAAAATAAATGATTTAATTGAAAGGTTATTTGTTTTCAAAATAATTTTGAATTCGCTAATCAAGAGGCGAAACACCGAACACAGGCGAATTCATGCTGAACCGGCACAGAGTCACTTATTGGATCCGTCTTCAAAACGTGTTTGAGTAGTCAACAAACCCACGAGTGAGTTCACCAACTCACAGACCATCATCAAATCAAGGCAAACACTGTTTTTACCAAAGTCACACTGTCTACAGCCTAATTCTTTGTTTGATGATGATGGATACGAGGAAGTGGGGTTGGTATCCCCCAGGCACTGCAGCCTTCTGGCTTATTGAACCTACCTAGTAACCTAGTTTAGTGCTGTTAACTCAATCTTTCCTCAGGATTAGGCCATTCATTCCCTAGGTTTTTTTTTTTTTTTTTGTTATGTCTGTATTGAGCCGTTGTTTCGTATTCAAAGATATGGGTGGCTGTTTCTTCCTCCTTACTACATAATGTGCAAATGGGATCATCGTTATATAAGCCCATGTTTTCTCAGATGCCAGTGACCGGTGAGTAGTCCTACCACTCCTCTGAGTCTGGTCTCCTTCAATTACAGCTCTTGATTGCCTGTGGAGAGGGTTGTTTTAGCATAAGTTTACTGTGTCTAGCACCCCTATAGTTTATCCACTTCTCCTTTTATTTTATTTTATTATATTTATATACAGTCCGTGATAAAGGATTCTGTGTCTTTGTGTAACCCAAGAATAGGTTCAGAGCCTATGCATGGTCTTGCAGATTCTCCTCTGGCCAGTGTGTCTGCTTTTTCATTACACAAAATTCCTTCCTGCCCCCAAGGTATAATCAGACTATTTATTTGTTGTGATTTTTTACACACTTAGCTGCCTGGCTATCCAATCTTTTTTTTCTTTTCTAGTGTAATCTCTTTTAAGAGTTTCTAGGACGCAAGCATTAATGGCATGTATTTCTACTTAAAAGACTGAAGTGTACTTCCTAATAACAATATCTACATATAACATCGATGAAGCACCCCGTTGTTGATTAATATTTTCTTTGGTGATTGATCAGCCTTCTCAGTTTAAATACATTTTTTTCTTTCCAAAAGGTAGATTGGGGATGAGGCCAGGAAGACAGAAACAACATTTATTTTCTTGTCGAGCTTTCGGCAGAATATATCGCCTTCATCAGGACTTCGAACAAAATCGTTATACTGTATGAACAGGTACATGTGTGGATAACGGATAGCCGGTGTATATTTCCAGATATTCTGTATCAGTATTATATTTCCCCAGACGGTATGAAATAATATTAATAATTATTAATATTAATACACTGGCTATCCGTTATCCACACATGTACCTGTTCATATAGTATAACAATTTTTTTCGAAGTCCTGATGAAGGCGATATATTCTGCCGAAAGCTCGACAAGAAAATAAATGTTGTTTCTGTCTTCCTGGCCTCATCCCTAATCTACCTTTTGGAAAGAAAAAAATGTATTTGTACTTCCTAATGAGCTTGATTGCTTATTTTTTGCTTGTACTAAAAATGCCAAAAACAGTTCCTTCATTTGTTTTGGAGCCATAAGTTAACCATATTGTGTGTGATGCTCTCCTAAGTCTTTGTATTAAATAAAGGACAATGAAGGACAATCTCATCTTACTCAACTGAATATTTTTTTACAAATATAGTTATTTCTTCACAGGGACGTCCTATTGAAAGTTTCCTTTCCGCTTAAGTTTGGAATATTAGGTGATCTTTAAAAACAGAATAAGAAGTGCTAGAAAAAGCTGAAAGAATGCACAAGCAAAAAACCCTCCGAGAGAGGGTTCATATGTTTTGGATTAACCAACGCCAAGTTTTGACAGCTGGCAACGTTCCAGAATCCTACCAAGGATCCAATCTCCACCAGTCAGAAGTACTAATTCGATGTAAAAAAAAGGTCCTGGCTGCTTGGGGCTCACATCAGTCATCATTCATCTCTTTTTCAGTTGCAATACAGTAACTTTGCTCAATATCATTCTCCTTTATTTTTAAGTGCTGGTGTAATTCTTCTTTATTTCTTATTTTTTGGTGGAGCTTCTTCCATTACTTGATGAATAGTTCTCTGTTTCTAATCCGGGTGAACTTAATGTCATTGTTAGATACCATAACAAAGGAAATCATTTCATGAAATGGGATATTTACTTAAAAAGCGACCCTTGGCAATTCATTACATCTCCTGCTGGTATAAGGATCCTGATAATGCTGAGAACAGACCACATTTAGGCCGGCTGGAAAAATTAAACATCATCAAAAAGTGTGCTGTTCTCAAAGAACTGACCACCAACCCATCAAGTGCCCCAGAATTTCCAGATGTTCTGTATCACTATTATATTTCCCCAGATGGTATGGAATAATATTAAAAATCAAAACATGCATGAACGTAATCTCAGAAAGAGCAAGAAGAACAGGGAAAAGCACGTCCAGTTTGCTAAAGAGCACTCAATAAGCCTGATACATTTTGGGAGACTTATTTTCACTGAGAGCAAATTAACTGTGTCTCAGGATGTGACGGAAGAAAGAAAGTGTGGTGTAAGCAAGGCGAACACTTGAAATTAAAAAATTCACTACTTTTCTTTCTCGATTTTTTTTCCTCTTGAGCAGCTGAGGCCATCATGGATCAAGTGATCAAGCTTGCACCCGGAAGGAGATTTGTGGCTGCCACATGGAGGACGATTTCTTATTGTCCAAGGTGAGTCAGGAGAAGAGCTCAGTCCAGTAGTCCCGAGGCAATAGATGGCGAGAGGATGTGGTCCGTTGGATTTTTCCTCCTTACGCAGTTGAAGCAACCACAGTTCGAAGGGTCAGGAAGGGATTTACGGCTGCAGAAAGGAGGACAACTTTCCCACCATCCAGGGACTTTAACAGTCTCTTACAGGAACGTTAAAACCATCATTATGACCACAATAAATGGTATGGTTGATTATGAAAAAATACCCCAAGAAACTAGGCTGGAAATTGAACAACCGCTGATCAACATAGTATTGAAATTTAAAGTGGTTATTTGGAACCATTTTCAAACCTGAGAAGCTCTGGATCATTTTTGATGAGTAAATGGCATATTATGATTCACCTTTGACAATTTTTGCTTATTTTTGTTCTCCCCTGATTAGAACTAGAACTTTGCAATAATTAATTAATTTTTTAAAAATTAATGTGTTTTTTTATGAGACCATGCGCATTTTATGATGTTTTGTACATACAAGAATTGGAAAATTGTCCCTGTCTTATGACAAACTAACATTGTGATGAATATCAATGAATACAATTTTTTTTCTTACAAGTTTAGTAACCCTACCAGCTCAGAAAATTTAAAATTGATTATTATTATATTTTTCAATTTTTAGGTAGACTTTATGCGCTTCAGACTGGTTTGAAACTGGACAAGAAGTCGAATGAAGCCAAGGCTTTGTTAGTCATGTTGATGGATTGGTTGGAGACGCAAAAAAAAGCCCTTTCTGACAATGAAGCCATCACTAATGATGTCGCCGCACAGGCTCATATCGAAAATTATGCTTTCAAGATTTTTGTATGGGCCGACACGCAAGACCGTTCCGGCGTGTTTAATAAGTGAGGTTTAATTCTGTATAAAAGTAAAAAAAATTATAATAAATATAAATCGTTTTCAACAGGAATGTAGTCAAGGCGTTTTACACTGCCGGAATGGTAATGGATATATTGACCATATTCGGCGAGCTCTCTGAGGAGGTAAGCTCGAACTGCAAATATGCAAAGTGGAAAGCGGCCTACATCCACAACTGCCTGAAAAACGGCGAGACACCGGTGGCCGGACCGTTCAATGTCGATGAAGACGGACAGATCCAGATGGACAACTCACCACCGCAAAACAATTGTAATCCAACGTACAAATTAGTGTTTTATATATTACAGTAAAACCTCTTGATAAAGGACAGTCATGGTGTCATAGCTACTGTTGTTTTACTAGGTTTTCATGTATTGCCAGGATCAAGGACTTCATTTCTTCCTTTTAAAGTCAACCTTTGGTGGGTCATAGCCATTAAAATTAAAAAAAAAAAAAAAAAAACGAACTGAAAAGAAGTTACAAATTCACAAAAACAATTCATTTAATCAATTTTAAACTACTCTTCAACGTTTATGCTAGCTAAGAAAAATGAAAAATTAATCTGGCCTGTCCTCTACTCAGAGGTTTTTCACTGATAATTCAGTTTTCTTGTTTTTTAGTTAATAGAAATGATAATTACATAAAAAATGAATTTTCCATTCGTAACTGTCCGTAACGTAGGTGTCCTTTACTCAGAGGTTTTTCACTGATGATTCAGTTTCCTTGTCCTTTATTTAATAGAAGTGATATATGCATAAAAAAATAATTTTCCACTTGTAATCGCCCTGCAAAATGAGATGTCCCCTCCTCATTGTTTTTTCACTAACAATTCAGTGTCCTTTGTGCCACGCTGGTGAATCTATACTTTCCTATAAATGGAGGAGTCCCTTATCGAAGGTATCTATATATTGTATTTTTGTTTTTTTGAAGTTTTCAACACGCCCACGGTGCCCGAACCTGATAGGAATCCATCGCCTGCAGTCACACCTCAGGAAAATTTCAATTTTGACGTACCAAAAGTGCCGTCTAGTTTGCCTGATGATAACTCACAAAAGTTTACACCCGTTACGCCTCAACAGCCGATAATGCCTCTACCACGTACAGGTAATTTTTTGCAATTTACAACTTGTCTATATAATAAATTTATTTACTTATTTATTCTACAGAGAGTGGCATCCCCCTGGATCCAACGCTGATAACAAAAGCACAAAAATACTGCAAATTTGCTGGCAGCGCTTTGAATTACGATGATGTCTCAGAGGCAATTAATTATTTGCAAAAAGCCCTAAGACTACTTCAGACCGGGCAAGACACTTAATTTACCAAGTAGATATAATCATTGAACTATTTAAACCATTGCTTCTTTGTAAATAAACATTTTCAGTTAATATTTTTTCCCCTTTTGTTAAAGCTTATGTAAATAAATTGTATTATGTATAAAAAATATCTTAAATATATAGCCCATGATTTAAAGTAAAAACATACCTAGAAGGAAGTTAAAAAATAAAAATTAGGTTCATATTTATCATGTATTTTTTTAGGGTAAAAATTTTCCTGTGTAAAGGAACTTTTTTTTTAATCCTATAAATCACATTATAAAGACGTGTAACAACTTCTGAGCAATTACATTTTAAAATAACAATACATCCCTAAAGTTTATTTACACTTTTGTCATCGTAATCGCTAATAAAATAGTAACTGAAGAAGAAAAAAATCTAGTAATGATTTTTACAAACTATGACTATATTTTTACATTTTTCTCTTTTTACAAGAAATGTGTAAGCAATATTGTGAACAAGAGAACAAAAATTAAACGTGTCTTTTTTCCTTCTCATATTAATAATTGTGCAAATTTAACTTCTAAGGACTCACTGACATAATTGTATATAATATAATTATTAATTGTAATTAAATGTTCATGCAAAGAATGATAATATTGTTTAATATAGTTAAGGCTTGTTTGTAGTATGACATATTGTTCGACTTTTCAAATTTTGTCCAGAAGGCTCGATTTAGTCGAGGGAAAAACATACAAAAAATTTTAAAATAAAATTCTGCTAATTTATCACATTCGAGGCAAAATTAACAAAAAAACGAATGGTACAACCGATGAGCTCCTGACATGGGACAATACAAGACATTAAACCTAAGTAGGTAACAAAGACTTTGTCGAAAATGGAGCAACGGACTGAAATTTCTTCAGTACTTTTTCTCTTTGGTTTTACACTTGGTACGAAAAAAATTGACACAAAATCTAATCAGTCTTGTTTCTTTTGTTTTGCGTCACCATTGCTTGTCACCGCTTCCTGTTTCCTTTTGAGCTGCCAGTCTATAACCATCCGTCCAGTTAGCATAAAGAAAAACACCTGAAATTTATAAAAAAAATATATACATTATTAATTTATTTATTAGATGAAAGAATTGTAAGACAATTGACCTCAATATTGTACCTCAGGCAAGAAATAATTAAAATTTTAAAGGGCTAACGAAAATACTGAGAATGAAATATGGCAGCTTTGTGGAAATGTTAAAAGTATACTTTTTGCTGCCAAATATATAAATAAATTTAAAAAAAGCGGCTTCTGTGTACAGAGGCATTTTGCCTATGCCTGATGGAACATTAAGTGCAAATTTTCTATTTGATGCTAAAATGATAATAAGATTTTTTTTCAGTTAGTGTGCTAAAATTTTTTGAAGTTGTGGGGAGTGGTCAAGAATGAGGTAGTTTAGAAAACACCTTTTTCATTTTTTTGCCAATATTTATTCGAGTCATCTTTAGGGCAGAGCGTGGAGCTATTCTTGTGGTGTCATATTGGTTTTGTGTGAAAGTGTAGTCTTAACTAATGCTACATGTGTATATTTATATGTGCAATCATACATTATGTAATTTGTAAATAATTAAATTGTTGTGAGTGTGTGATTAATGAGAAAGCCGATGGCTGGTGGCCAGGGCCTTTGCACATATGAACATATGCATACATGAGCAAAATTAGCTTGTAATTTGCTCATTACTGATCATTTTGATCTGCCTATTCTCACTGGACTGACCAGTCAGATGCTACAGGACACACTGAAGATGGCTAAATGTGTCTGACTGACCAACCCACTGAGGATAGGCTTGATATGATCGGTAATGATCGAATTAAGAGTTCATCACTCCGTAGACCACAGGAGAATAAACAATTAAGTAAGCTTATTTTATTTTCTTAAGAGCTAACAGAGTTTTAAAAAATATATTTACCAGTGCAGGAGCAGTCCTTTCAAATTTGTCATTCACCATATAATGGGAATAGACTGCCATTACCATTAAAAACAGCAGTGTTATGTTTGCTCCTTGTTTTACTGCGTCTGAAATCCAGAGGCAAGCATAAAATATAGTTTTTCTTAATAAAAGTGAAGGATTATAATTTTAAAAAAAGCCAAAGCCATGGCCTGAATCTAAATATATATATAAAACACCTGTGAGCACTCAATTAAAGAATGGAAAAGAAACTAAATATTTCAATTTGCCAAATTTGTTGGGCCCTTGTAAAAGACTAAAATAGGACGTCCTTGATTTAAATTTTGCTTGGTTTCTATGTTGGGATGTTGCTTAGAGGTGTTTTTATTTATTTTTCGATATTTTGTCGTACCTATAGGCACGACGGCCATCGCCAAGCCGCAGAGGAGCTCAAGACCTCCGATGACCCTTCTGTACCACTTAGCAGGTATTTTAAAGTCTAGGGCTTGCGACAGGGGGAAAACTTTGGCGTACTTGACGTATTCTTTCCTCTGGAAAAAAAATCGAATTAAAAATATACAGGATGGAAGGAAATTGGTGTAATTAGGGCGCATCGCTTGACAATGACCGACTATTTTGGGATTTGGCCATCTCATTTTAGAATTTCCACACAAGCCCAGCCGATGTCCCAACTCTAGCGGACCCGACCACGGGCAACGCGACCTGCCAACGGAGCCGCCGGCAGGATGCCAGATAAATTCGTATATTATTATTTGGGCGAAGAGAAATAAAAGAAAACATGTATAAACCGTTGGATTTTCAATTGAAGAAAATTACAATTTACCAGGGTTTGGAAAAAACCGAAACTTTAGACATGATTCAAAGAAAAGATCACAAGAAGCCGTCCCGGTACGACCAAAAGGCTAAAATTTGCTTCGAACGAAATCAGAAATAGCTTTCTTATCTCCTGTCTATAAAAAATATTTCGGCCAAAAATAAATCACCTCACAATATCACCCATTTTCACACATGTTCACTCAGACACTCCTCTATCAGAAAATCAAATAACAAACATAAATAATTAGCATTGTTTGCATAAAATCCAAAAGAAATCCGCCTGTAAAAAGGATTTGGGAATTGATTATTCATTAAGTCAATGAAGTAATCCCATCAGAAGCAGCTATGAAGTTAAAAACTTAAACAAGGCTAAACTTTATTGCCAGGTTGTTTATATTTAACTTTAATCTATAGAAATAAATCAGACACTTGGAGTTTGTCATTTAGTCAATTGAATTTTAAGTCTAAAAGTAAAGTTTAGCCAAGGATTTTTGATTTTTCAAGCCGGATTATAGAAGAAAGTTATATACGAATTCAATTTCACAGGAAAAAATTATTCTTTTATAATTTAATTGTGGGATTTTCCTATTTTTTTAAGTAGTGGTAATAAAATAAAGTATGAATTTAAGTGATAGATTGGTCACAGCAAAAAAATACAAAAAATAAAATCTAAGTTGCATTTTCAAGCAATAAATTGTAAATTGGGCAAGATTTTGGCCTTTTTCTAATCCTAGCGCGGTCAAATTTGATCAAATTATGTTCAAAAATTATCTTTAAAAACTTATAATTTATAAAATTGCATGTATGACGTACACTTAGTACGTAAGATTTTTTTAAATATAATGTAACGTTACGTACAAAATTGTAGATATTTGGCATGTTAAATTTTAAAACCCTCAAGCTATTTTGAAATTTTTTTGTTGACTTTTATTTTGTTTATGCAATTTACGTTGATCTTCGTGACAAATATGTTTGAAAAGGTTGAAAAATTGTTTACAAATCGGTTCCAAAAATTTAATTCCAAGGCTTGAACGCTATAGGATGAGTTTATCGAAGGGCCTTTAGCTATTCTAAAACTAAATTGTGCATTTTCAATAATTAAAGTTTAATTATAGTAATAAAATTGGATTTTTATGAAATATAACTGCATGATCTAATTTTAAGGGGAGGTGAATCTTCCAAGAGGAATGTTTATTTAAAGGCCTGTACGAGGGGACGGTTGCCTCCCTCAAAACCAATAAATAATTTAAAGTTGAATGTACTTAATAGAATTTTCTTAGTAAATAGATAATATTTATTGTATTGTTATTGTAATTTATATTTTAAAAAAGAGTATATTGAGGACAAAAATAAAAAAAATTGTTACGGTTTTGCTGGTCTAATGATTTTCCACCCTTTAGCCACTCCCTCGTCCAAGGGTGCGAGGGGGTAGGACGGTGACAATTGATAGGAGTCAATCGAGAAAATGCTAGTACATACCAAGTCTTTGTGTAGGTCTTTGCTTATGAACGACGTCAGTTTCATTGTTCCGATAAATATAAAAAAAAGTCCAAGGAGGACCGAAAGGCTTTTCAAGACAATCGAGCCCATCGCGACAATCCGCGTCCCACCCTGCGACCCGTCGGCACCTTGTTTATCCCGTTTCGTCCCTAAGCTCTGGGGAAGGACGGGATCGAACGCATGCGTCTGAAATTCGGCGAGTCGGAGTTGCGCTTTCGCGGATCTCGGGATTTAGATTTAGATTTGGATTTGGACGCGATCGTGGGATCGAAGGGAGACTGGAATCGGAACGATTTTTCGGAAACGCGATCGTCTTTTGTTTTGAAGAACTGCCGGCTGTTGACGGGAAATGGCAGAACATAAAAGTCGGGGCTGATTTTTAATTATTTTACAAATTAACGACAAAACAAAAATCACAAATTAAATATAACATCTGTGAAATATATTTATTTATAAAAATGCATAAATTGGTCTAAAAATCAGAAGTTTGTATAATGTTCGTAATAAACACAATGGGGTCCTAGGCTGATTTTCATAACAATTTCACAATCAAGTCGATCGGTTTATTATCTTATTTACCATTTATTGTCACTTTTAGTATTGACTGACTTAAATAATCAATCGATTTAACTTGTCATTTCTAACATTTAATACAATTTTAATATAAATATATTTAAAAAAGGATATATGTTTAATTGTACAAACTGTTCATTTGTAAAAGATAGTAATAATAAAGGCAAAAAAGATAAAAATCAACAGAATCAAAGGTTTGTTTAATCTTAAAATGGCGTCCTGGAACTACATTACCAATCAGATGTAAACCTATGTATGTTGAATAGAAAAAACAAACTATACAATTATTTAACGTTAAACATGTGTTTATTAACATTTAGAATTTGACAGTGTTGCAAATTTAAGCCTTTGAAGGATAAACAAAACATCGAGGAAAACTAAACTTTTGTTTATTCCTTAACAAAATGGCGTCTTGGAATGTTGTCCTCGGCTGACTTTCGTAAAAATTACACGAAATTTATTATCATTCACACCACAAACAAGTTAATTTTAATTGGTTTATTGGTTACCATTTATTGTCATTTTTAGTATTGACTGACAACCAATCGATAAATTATTATACCATTCATTCCTTACATTTAATACAATATTAGAATAAATATATTTAAAAAAGGATGTATTTTTAATTGTACAAATTGTTCATTTGTAAAATATAGTAATAATAAAGTCGAAAAAGATAAAAATCAACAAAATCAATCAAAGTTTAATCTTTAACTGGGGTTCTGGAACTATTTTATCAGACGTAACCCTATATTGAATATTAATACCATAAACTATACAGTTATTTGACGGTAAACATGTGTTTATTGACATTTAAAGTTTGGTAATGTGGCAAATTTAAGCCTTTGAAGGATAAATAAACAAAATCATGAGGAAAACTAAATGTTTGTTTATTCCTTAACAAACTGCCGTCCTAGGCTGATTTTCATAAACAATTACATGTAATTTAATATCATTCACACCACAATCAAGTTAATTTTAGTCAGTTTATTATTAACTATTTATTTTCATTTTTAGCATTGAATGACGTAAATAACCGATCAATTTTACTTTTCATTTCTAACATTTAATACAACTTTAATATAACTACATTTCAAAAAAGGTATATTTTTAATTATACAAATTGTTCATTTGTAATTCATAATAAAAGATAGTAGTAATAAAGGCGAAAAAGATAAAAATCAACATAATCAAAGGTTTAATCTTTAAAACAATGGCATCCTGCAATGATTTTATCAAATAAACGTACACTTCAGTTTAATTACATATAACATTATTTATCAATAAATTAGTGTTTATTGGTATTTACAAGAAGACAACGCAATTTTAAGCCATAAAGGATAAATCAACCAAAGTAAAAACATCAAGATCTAAGTTTTATCTTTTACAAAATGGCACTATGGAATGATTTTATCAAATAGGTAAACTTGTTTAATTATTTATTATTATTATCAATAAATGAATGTTTATTGATATTTACAAGAAGACAATGTTGCAAAAATAAGCCAAAGCAAAACGTCAAAAAGAAGCTATAGAAATATTTAAGTGGAGTGAGTACATCAATTCGTGGGTTGGAAGGTTGGTTTAGTTCTAACCAATGAACTATAATCGTACAACATCTGCTTTCCTACTGTTAAATAGGATGCCCCACAACATATTTGAAAGTTTTAATGCTACCACATGTGTATACTTCATTTGTTCCTGTTTTACATTGTTTAAATAAGATTGGTCGCATCTTAGCTATTATCATGTATTGATTTCCTAAAAGGAATATTCAAAAACCAGGCTGTAGTCATAATCCATGGATACATTTTTTTATCATACAACTCTTGTCCAGTTTTACTGTATTGATACTGGTAACTTTTTAAGCTTCTATCTTGGTCAGAGGATATATACCGAGGGTAATCTTGAAAGGTTAATTTTATGTTGGACTACATTTATTCTTTTGTTTGAACCTAAGCTTTTGAAGCAAATCTGCAGCACAGTTAAAATATTTGGACATTGGGTTCTCATGTATGATCGAAATTACTTAAAATATACTGTATATTGTCACACACCTGAGGCCGAGCCAGCTAGTGCCCAGGGTGATCTTCGTCCTTGGCTTAATAAACCATTGCTTCATGCACCATATATGTAATTCACATGTACAGTCTCGCCAGCAAGAACCCAGGATAATTACACCTTACCGCATACACAGCACAATACTATAACAATTTTTTTTTTTAAATTGGACAAATCAAATTTTAAATATATAATTACCTTGATTATCTCTAATTCGCCTATTCTCACGGTTTGTCTACTTTGTGTTATTTTACAAGCATTTGATGAATTTGTTAAATGATTTATTTAAAAAAGAAAAAACACATAAGAAGCTGGTAGAAACTCTGTATTATGACGACATAATGGACATTAAAATTAGTACCAAAGAAAAAGGAATGTGTAGATTCTGTGAAAAACAGAATAAACCACAATATACTTATTGGAAAGATATGTACGTTATGTTCACTATTTTATAATTTATACTAGTAGGATGAAAGGAATGAAATGGACAGACTTAAAAAGCAAATTAATAAAAATAAAATATAATAAAGTTTATTTACATATAATACAGTTCTATAGAAATATGTACTAGAAAACAATACAAAATATAAAATTTTGACTAATTCTAAGGATATAAAAATTAAAATAATACTAACTGCTCATAGAAAAATTAATAGGGCGACATCTTGTGATAATTAATTTCCCTGGATTGTCAACATTGGACCAATGAATTTTTCTGTTATTGCGGATTCGTATTACTGGTGATTTTTTGTTAAGACTGCCTTCCAGATTTTCCGTTTTGGGCATAGCCAGACTTTCGGCCTTTTCAGCGTATACCGTCTTATTATGCACTCTGGATTCTTCACTTTTAGCACCATGATCCAAAGTAGTTTTTGCATCCAGTTTTGAGCTGTCGATGCACCCTTGTTTCAACGAGTTATCACAATTTTTAGGAGGTGATTGGGTTTTTTTTGCTTCAGGTACTTTTTGATTTTTCCCCTTACACTTTCTAATATCAGGATTCTCGCTGTTCGGAAGAGTCGGAAGGAGTATTGTTGAATGATACAATCTCGTTTCCTGTTTGTTTATCACTTTCATAAGATTTTTTTCTTGTAGTTTCATTTTTTCATTTGGTGACTTATTTGTGAGATCGCTTATGCCTGGAACTTTTTCAGGCTTGTGTGTTTCAATTAAATTATTTGACATGTCATTCGGTGCTTTACTCTCTGGTCCCTTTGATGAACCAAATACTTGGAGTAATTTTTCATTTTCTGTATTTTTCAAATTGACCACCTTTTGGTTTTTATTTCCAGGATTGTCTCTGGAATCCATATTCAAAGATTCTCTCCTTATAGTAATTTTCTGCTCTAATTTTAAAGGCTTCAATACCCATTTCATCTTTTCCAAAGGCGCTTTACTCATCTCTGATCCCCTCGATGAACCAAATACTTGAAGGACTTTTTCGTATTCTGTATTTTTTAAGTTCATCACCTTTTTTTCCTGTTCCGACACAAATGAATCTTTTAATGAGAACGTTGTGTTGATAGTTTTAGATGAAATTGGTTTAGTCACAACACGCGGTGTCTTTCTTGGTTTCAGCACATTGACAGGTTTATCAGGATTTTTTTCCTTTCCCTTGTTTTCGGTTGTAGGTTGATCAATCGTCAACGGGCTGATTTTGACCAAAGGTACTTTTGACTCATTCAATTTACATGGGGTGTTCAAGGGAGAAATTTTGTTTTCGACTTTAGTCAATGCAGTTATGAACTGAGTCGTATCTTCAAACTGCCCCATAAAAGTATCCTCATATTTAGGATTTACAGGTGGGCTTGGTTTGCAAGGCTCAAAAACCAAAGGTGGCAATGAAGACGATGCTGATTGAAGACTCGGATTAAATCCTGATTTTTCAGGTGAAAATAAAGATTTTGTTTCATGTTTGCTTAAATCTTGAAACGGCCTTTTGTCTTTATCGACAATCACAATCGCCTCGTCTTTTTTTGATATTTCAAGGGTAACTTCATTTTCACTGTTTAAGGCAACAACTGTATTAGTTTTCTCAGTGAATTGAGAATTTTCAATCTGAGCGCTACACGAGTCTTCGTACACTGTTGGAGACGACAGGTCAATTTTTGCGACCTCCTCATCTTCGCTCAGAGAACTATCGACCCATTTAACAGGGCTTCCGAAAATGTTCAACAGCATACTGTCTGAACATTTATTTTCCTTTTTACATTTTCTTTTAATGGTAGGCTGGACTTTTACCTTCTTCTGCGGTGGTTGCAAGGAAGCTTGAGACCTGGTCATAATTCTTGAAGGCGGCATGTCCGAATTTATACTGCAGTTGTTGGAAATCGGGTTAAATGTACACCTCGTCCTTTTTGCAGTCACACGTTTAGACATTTCTGTATTTTTATCCATTTCTTCACTCCTGGAAAAAAAAAATTATTAACTATTCAAAAATAAATATCACTATAGAAACTGACCTTTTAGGGGTAATTTTATCTACATCAGTCTTTTCAGGATTTTTAACTTCTTGTACTTTCGTTGGTGCCACTGCATCATTAATTTTACTGGCTTCTAAGCTAGCCAGCTGTTCATTTCTTTTTGCCATCCTTTCAGAAAACAAGGTTTTAAAAGGCTGTTTCTGAAATGTTGGCACAGGGAAATCTTTATTTAAAATACATTTGTCTAAAGTGTTTGTAATTTTTGTTTCTACATTTTTATTATCTTTTGTCTGTACAAATTCATTTGGCTGTTCTGTATTTTTAAGGCTTGATATGTTGTCTTTAACTTGAGCATCTTGATTATTTACACTATTTGCTATAAAGTCTTTTAATTTATTACTTGTATCTTGGATAGTAGGAGAATTAGATTTTCCATTTCTTTTATCTTCATCTTCTTTTCTTTCAAGCTTTGATTTCTCATTATCTCTAGTTAAACCTTTTCTACACACTTCATTTTCCATTTGACTGATTGCACTTTTCTGATTTGTTTCTTGTTTTGTTATCATGTTTTCTTGAGATTCTTTCACGTTGTAGCCTCTTGAAGTTCTCTTTTCTTCAAGGCTCTTAGTTGATTTCTCTAGACTGTAAGTGTCATTGAAAGGGGAAAAATTTGGGTCTCGTATGTTGCTTACGAACTTCTTTTCTCTTTCGTCTAACTCTGAAGACAACCTTGCATTGACAGGTTCTTTGGGATCTCTTGATTTCCTTTGTAAACTATCTCTATTGGTGATTTGACTAGACTTGTTATTGTGCATTGTGAAAGCTCTTCCTCCATTTTTCAGCCTTTTGTTGGTCTCATCCAGTCTAAAATTAAGATATAAAAAAATAAGACAAAATTTTTTAGAAATAAAATAGGTTTAAACTTTTACTCTTGTCTCAAGTTCTTGATGATCCTGTCTTTCCTCGATATTTCTGATTGAGCAGTTTTCAGTAGTATCGAGATATTTAAGGATAAGGCATTGCACTTTTCCTCAAACTCTTCTTTTTCCTTTGATGCTTGAAGGAGACGTGCGTATAAAGTGTCATTTTTTTCTATTAGAGTATTGACAAGTGATTGAAGCTAAAAACAAAAACAAAGCATTAGAAAGCATATAATGTACGATGACATTTGGACAATTTCTGATACAAAGTAGGATATGTGAGGCTGATATGTCAATTATTTAAAACAATTGGTACTAAAATAAAAAGTGAGTCCAGATAAAAGAATGTCCAACATATCATACGTCACAATTAGAAAGTGTGTCTTGATGAAGCATCTAACAATCAGATACAAAGTCAAGTTTAAATTCCAGATTAAAAAATTGTTTTAGAAGGATAGAGACTGAAGTATGTTGTATATGATTTGCCATTCAACTATCAAATGCTACAATATTGTTTCAATTTTTAGGATACAAAGAAGAGTTTTGGGTAATATGGCTCCCAGATCTGACGATCATTTCGGCCTTGGGTTCGAGTTAATAAGTATTTCTAGATGCCAGATCTGACATTAAGAATCAAACTAGGATTGTGGCCAATTGTCTGAATCCAACAGAACTGCTATACATGGAATTCTGACAATCATTGGAAGAGTGAGCCTAAAGACCAAATCCAAAAATGAACGGAGTCCAAAGTAAGAGTTGTGGGCCTGGCCAACATATCATCGAACCCTACAATTGTTTCAATTGAAACAAAATAGGATGTATCTGGCCGCTGTCCAAATCCTTGATTTTGTCAATAATTTTTAGACATTTGAGCCTAGCATGTGGTAAATGTCATTGGCTTTATAAATGCCAGATCCAACAATGCTCCAAATGCTGGTATGACAATAATTTCTGATCTTGGATCTAGGAAATGAAAGCTTAAAGAAAGGATACAAAAATTGTTTTAAACAGAGTACAAAGTAAGAACAAGACTTATCAAACCCCTCAATTGTTTCGATTAGCAGCACATGAAGTAAAAATGTGTGACTGTGGTCCAAATCCTGAATCTTTGGGTCTAAAGTAGACAATGTGGTAAAAGAATAATAGAATGCACAAATGCCAAATCTGATAGTTGCTCCAAATGCAACTGGCAAATGCAATGGATGGATGTAGTATGAAGTAAGATATGAGTTATTGTGTAATAAACTATTGAGCCCACAATTGTTTCAATTAACAGGACACAAAGTAGAATGAGTGTGGATGCTGGACAAATCATTTCTCACCTTGGCAATAATTTTCAGACATTTGGACCTAAAGTAGGCATGTGATAAGTATTTCTAAAAGTTTGAATGTCAAAACAAAACACCTCTGACAGACAACCCAGCAAGGATAGACCAATTTGATCAGTAACGATTGAATTACATCACATATTTAAGCAAGAACAATTTTGTGATTGGTGTAAATTTTAGTATGTTTAGATATTGTAAAAGGTTTATTCTATAGCTGCAGCAAACGGTTCCTTGCACTTCCAACCAGTACCATTTAATATAATTTAAATTGAACATATCAATTATGAATTATTATGGTTCTGAAATAGAAATTCTGTTCAGTGTGCTATATCACTGTCAGATCTGATAATTATTTCAGAAATTGGATCCAAAGCACATGTGGTCTTCGAAATGCCAGATCTGACAAGTTTTAGACAGTTGGGTTGAACGTAGGATGTGTAGTGAGTGTAAATTTGTAGTAAGTTTAATAAAAATGAAATTGAGCGAGGGGCACAAAAGTTAGCCGAAAAGCTGAAGCAGAGATTGTAGATATGGCTCCATGGGAACACGGAGAGTCGAGGGATAAGAACCCTCAACCAAAGCAGAACACCATCATGGAGATCTCAACACAAGGTGAGATTTCCTCCTTAGGTCTGCAGAGTGATGAACCTATACTACCTATCCTCGATGGGTTGGGATCACAGTCACAGACCGACTAGAATAATTTACAAAAAAAAAAAAAAAAAAAAAAAAAAAAAAAAAAAAAAAAAAAAAAAAAAAAAAAAAAAAAAAATTAAATCCACCAAAGGCATTGACAAACAAATAAATTGCTGACATAGGCACTCCTGAAAATGCCAAAACATGTCTGACATACCAACCCAGTGAATATAATGTTGGTGTGGTTCTTCATACGCTGGCCTGCAGCAGGTAAGTAACTAGTTTCTCTTGACTGTACTAGTAGCCTGGTCACCCTATAAAATTCATGAAATCCCTCGCCCAGTTAAGTAAATTTTCTGTTAGTAACCAAGTCTGATAAAAAAGTCAAAAGAAAGGTTTCATTTGTTCAATTGGACTTACATAGTGTATACTTAAAGAATTATTAGTTCAAGTCTATTTAGGTTAAGTTTAAGGTTTTAATCTAGTATAGCTAGTGACATTTTAATTGAGAATAACATGAAAAAAGTATTGTAAAGTTGTAATTGTAAACTTCTCATCAACAACACCCAAGGGGTAAAGTGGATTATGGGTGTTGGTCTGCAAGTTGGTGAACACAATTTGTACCGGTACTGTGCCACTTACTGACTCCATATACACTCAAAGGTTTTTAATATTACTTGAATTTTTATCAAAGGGGTGGTTGAATGTTAAACCCTCCTATATGACAGAGATTACTTTATTTTTACGTATATAGACTATGGGGTACAGAACTTGGGTCTGAAATAGGAAATGTACCCCGTCCCTAGATGCAAAGTAAGTGTGACCAGTTGTCTGAATGTCAGAGCTCTGACAATCAGATACAAAATATGGTGAGCAGGATAAGCCGACAGTCAACCAATTCTGTCCAAAGTATGGTGTCAAATACAATCAGAAGATGTAAGTTCAAAGCATTAGATGCTTGTCAAGTCAAGAAAAGCACAGCATACAATTATATATTAAAAAGAAAAAAAAAGAAAAAACTCAAATTAGTCATCATATTTTAATTTTCATTTCATTCATTTTAAAATTCAAGAAGATGGCACTGGGGGAATTACTCGGTCTGACTAGTCGTGTGTTTTTGAAGTCACTCAAATGTCTTCGGTGAGGAACCGTTTGTCCAAGGAGTGGTTGGATGTCAATGAAGATTACTTTACTTTTACTCACACAAATTATCTACTGAGGCTGTCAATCATTTCTTAACTTGGGTCTGAAATAGGAAGTGTGTGTCCTATTTGCAAAGTAAGTGTGAATGTCAGATTAGACAACTGTTCCACATGATGTTGGTTTTGTGGATCAGACATGCAACATGATGAACCGGTAAGCCATCCGACAAAGTCGACCAATTCTGTCTACTGTATGGTGCCAAACACCAATTCGATTCAAAGCTTTAAATGCTTGCCTAGCCATACATTTAGTATACAATTATATATTTACATGCCAGTCATTAATAGGATTTTTACCTGGAACCAGTGTTAATATTATAAATTCTAATGGGAAGATGTTAGAAGAAAACGTCCTGTAAAACCAACTCACCAACTTTGTCAACAATTCCACCAAAACCATTCTTCAAGTGAAAACAAAAACAAACGATTGGGTCAAAAACCATTCGAAAAATTTAGTGATTCCTAAATCGATAAATTAATCATGCATTTATGTACAAAAAAAAATCACCTCGTCAAATTTGTCGCCGTATCTGAATTCAGGAAGATCTTCATATATATCCGTCTCTATTTCACTCATTATCTGTCATATCTTTTTATAAACATCCACCTCGCGCAACTCTTCATGGAAATAAATTACAGATAAATGTTCAAATTAATTTAATAAAACGAAATTAATTGGGGAAAAGTTATATTTCGCCGTTTTTTTGGGCGCTGACTCTTAGCTTGCATATAAACACAAACAGCAACCAAGGTAAAACCTGCTTGTTTTCTTTTGTGATTAAATTGGCGGGCGTTCTCCAGGACATCTCAAATGTAAAGTTTCCGATTTTGTTCTCGTTATTCTATTCCCCTTAGAAGATTTTCGGCGTTTTAAATCCAATTAAATCTATTAAATGGACGATAAAAAATTTAAAAATGGAAAAATAAAGATGCGAGCTGGGTTTGGTTGATAGAAGGAGGGAAGATTGAATGGGCGGTAAAGAATTTGGGCGCGACCGTTAAGCTTTCTTTCATTTTAGTTTGAGTGCTTCAAGACAAATGCTATTATTTAAAAAAAAGAAGTTTTTATCCAACTCGAAAATCTTCAAAGGTATTTCATTTATGATATCGAATAAAACAGCTTTATTATAATTTCCAACTAACACTATTATCTTATTTCTCCATACTGTGTAATTCGGAGTTCCTCAAGGTTCACTTTTCGGTCCTTTCTTCTTTAAAATTGTTTTTATAAACGATCATATTGTCTTCCACATATTAATTTTTACCTTTTGCCGACGATCTGAAAACCTATAAGTATAGAATCAAAGACAACACGCACTACATTCTAACCTTGTAGGTGTCTACCACCACATTGTTCCTCCTAAAATAACATAAACTAGTTACTTTTTTATGTAATAACCTTGTCACTTATCTGGTCCGCTTGTATTTGTCAGTTTTGATGTTACTCTAACACTTCAGTGACGAACAGAATTACTGATGGACGCAGTATCAGTTCAACATGTGTTCGTCGGCTCACATACCAACACCCATCATCATCACGCTAATTCTATCTCTGTAAATGATTACAAATTATTAAAATATCTTACCATAAAAGATCTTGGAATTCATTTTAATTATAAACTGAAATGGAAAAATCAGATTAAATTTTTAATCAACAACAAACTAATCATACCGGTGGATTTATTAATTGCACTACTGTAAATTTCGGTAATATTTACCGCTTATTTTTACTTTACAAAGCCCTTGTGCAACCGATTTTTGATCATGGATGTATCGAACCACCTGTGGACTAAAAAATTAGACTATTTGTTGAGGGTGAAAGATCCAAGATAAAGCATTTGTAACTCACAAAAATGGTCATGAAGTGGAATACAGTTGCAATCAACCTTATGTTTATCTGTGTTTTTTTTAGCGACTGTCAAGAACTGCTTCATGACCACTCCTCACGAATTCAACAAATTCTTAAGTTGATCATTGAACAAATGCCCTCCTTACCGATATACTAATATTATTTTACTTTGGACTCTCTCAGGGCTATGTCATAAGTCCTGTTCCTAGGTGTTTAACACCTTTACTTATTTTTAACAATTTGGTTTAATTATTAAGCTCTAGTGCCCATCTTACCTCTTAACCACAAAGCTGACTCTAAAAGAACTTCACCGTTGGTAACAACTGAAGCTTGGAAAATTTTCAGCCATGGAAGTTATTTTAGCTAAAATTGGGAAGTTATGAAAGAAGACGTTAAATAGAGAAAAGTTCTTAGATGAATGAGCACATTATATGCATTTATCTTTATTACGCTGGCTTATTTTCCTTAAAAGGAATAATCTTCCTTCAGAAAAAGATAGCATTTTTAAAATGTAGGAAATGTGATGTTTTAGTGTGTGAAGGTAAACCGGGTAAACAGAAGTCTATAAATATAGGATAACAACCTCTCTTATTTTTCAGATATTTCAAATTGACTGTTGCCCCACACCTGGCACATGTGCTGTTATTTTATTGTACTTCACATTTATGAGGATAGGGATAGGGACACATTTTGAAATTTTATTAAAATTGATTTTTTCAAATAACTCACTTGCCACGTTCAGCTTGTTAGGTAGTTTTAATCATCTCTTCAGCCTTGCCAGTGGGTCGTTAGAGCAGAATCTGGCTTGCGGGTTTTCCTCTCCTAGTTTCAAGAATCTACAACTATATAGACCCTCACAAAAACATAAAATCTGTTCTGCGGTCTCCTCTTCTTCCTGGCAGTATCTGCACAGTATTCTTTAGCCAGTACTGCTCTATCTGGAGCATATATACCTTCTTAAGGGGCAGTTCCCTATCAGGAGTCCAAACAGAATCCTAGTTCTGTTGTGTTTACAACTCCAGTATTTCCTTTGTAAGTTTTGCAGATGGCTCTTATATGAATTTCTTCACATGCCTCTTGCCTGGGGTTTGCTCCGCCAAGTTTTGAATTCATTAAGGATTCATCTTTTGATGATTCTATTTTTGTGGCAGGATGCTAGGCCGCAGTAGGGTTCAGGGCCTAGAGAATTTGAATTGGCTCTATTGTCATTTTTGGGCAATGTATACACGCTGGTCAGTTGTAATGAAATAATAAGAGAAACAAATAAAATAAAATAAAAACGAACTTACTCTTAGTGGGACCACGTTGTAGCTTGCCCTGCTCGTAACAACAGCTGGGACAAATTTCTCGCTATTCTTTGGCCAAAATCCAACTTGTCCTACTTTGAGGGCTCCGTCTGAAACCGGTGAGATGTGATGGCTGTAGAAAAGTTCTAGATGCACCACTTACACAACTTGTTGCTTTCAGGCACAAATAAAATTGAAGAAATTAAAAGCACTGAACAAAAGCTAAATGGACAGTGAAAAATAACGAAGTCGAGTAGAGTAGGAACTCATAAAACTGAGTAGGACTAGAGGGGAGCAAGAGGATAAAGGAATCAAAACAATTCACTGGTGCGAACAGCAAACATGTCCACTTTCAAATTTTTTCTATGCCCTGAATGCTCAGGGACCCACCCATGCCAGGTTCAGGTCATTGGTAACACTAACTTCTGCCAGGGATACCATACTATTGCATAAAGTGCCTTGACATAGTAGGCTAAGGCCCTAAGTGCCACCTGACTCAGAGAAAATGGCAAAAATTATGTTGAAAATGATGAAAAAAAATCTTCATAGAATGTATTCCTAGTCCTTTTATTTCTCTGGTGCAGAGATGTGGCTGATCAACTCTTGCAACTTTTAGCTTTGTTATGGTTTCTAATGGTTTATCATGTCAAAGGTATTGGACAGGGTCTAGACTTTACCACCGATGTGGTAATTGCGCTTAGCCAGTCTCCAGTTGGTGGAGCCTATGGCCACGTGGCTTATTGATTAATTTAATAACTGCTTAAACATTATAAAATAAAAGAGGAGTGTTCTTCTTTATTGAAAATGACAAGCGTTGTTGATGGGTTTTGGTATGTGATACAGTAAATTCGTGTTGAACCAAGTGACAGCGGGTTTTTTTTTATAATTAGTTTTTCCCCGCTAAACGCAGTAACAGGCTACATAATATAAAATGATTACAATATTAAGGTTGTAGTAGGTTATAAAGCCCAGTGTCTTTCGCACTTCTAACGCAAATGTAAAAAGAGTCAGGTTGCAATCTGCACATATGTAAATATTTGGTCAAATATACTAGTTTTTCTTCTTCTTCTTCGTGCTGAACTGGCATAGGGTCACTTACTGGGTCTGTCTGATAACCCAGGACCAGGACTCTGAGGAACAAACAGGAGCAGTACTTCACTGCAGATGGCACAATGCTGAACACATTTGAATAACTCAAAAACATGCAAATGGAGAACAGCCCAGTAAGTGAACCTGGGTCAGTTCAACATGATATGACAAGTTAGTCCGCGTAATGCATGGGATGAACAGGAACTTAATATTTTAAATGTTTTTGAAATATAGAGAATTCAAATAGTATGTGATTTTTGCTTAAAAGGTATTGAACTCAATAAAGTTTTTGATAAACATGAGAACAAGTTCAATCAGTCCTGTTTTTCTTTTCTTCAGGGTTCTTATCAAACACTATGCTTTACCATACTTTTAAGACCAGGTTTTCAAAATAATAAGGTACAAGAAATATAATGTGAGGAGAAAAAATTAAGAATTTTCGAAAGTTATTTATTTCATGAAACATAAAATCACTTCCTTAATCAATACATAGTAATAATAATATTGAGAGGCATAATTTTTATCAAATTATCTCCCGCCATATTTAGTTAGTAGAGCGGATAAAAGATAGCGGTAGCTCGAGCGGGTAACGAGATCCACGTTGCCCACAGCGCATGCGCGCTGGTCCCCGAGGGAAGGACGGCCCCTCAGTGAACAATCCGAAGCCGTGCCGTCCGTGACAGTCAGTCCGACGCGAAGAGTCAAAAACCAAGAAAAACTGACAATATCGTTTTTTTTTTTGCCGATTTATAAAAAATACAGAGACGGACCGCGTCGACAGACTTTGCACGTTTACCGGCGCGGAAGTGTTTTTTTATTCCACGTCGAGTGCGCCAAATATGAAGTCTGCAAGGTGTCTAGTGGGAAGTGTTAAGTTGTGTTATTGTCTTGTACCTGTCTGACCCCGGGATAACAAGGAGCAAGGTAATTTTTTCACTATATACTTTTTATGAAAGAAAAATCGCTATGGGTTTTCTTTTAAATTTCTCACCCTTATTCAAGGAGGAAAAAATATTTTTAAAAAGTTTACACTTGTCTTCAAAGCGAGGAGGGAACACCTTGGGACAGGTAACTGTGCCTTTGGATTGGGTTCTGATTTTAAAGATGGCGCCTGGAAGAACGCAGCAGCCTCGAGACTTACCTTGTATAAAACACAAATCAAAAATGAGCTTTTTCTATTATATTCGCGTTAAATAACATGGAGAGGTGTGCCAAATTTTCCGAAAATTCTCAACAACAATCATGTTTTTTTCTTACTTAAAAAACAAAACAAAACAAAGAACGCAAAAAGTTTTTACAACAAAAAAGCACAAATTGATAAATTTAAAAGATAAAAGTGAAAGTTGTAAAGTTAAAATTTAAAAAAGGTAGACCTTTTTAAACAGGAGCAACGTGATTGAAGCAACAGGTGTCGGGCGAAATTCGCCTCCCGTCGTCGACGATTCAAGCAAGTTTTTTAAATAAACCACTAAAAACCCCACTTGAAAAAAATTGTTTATAATACTTATAACAATTAAAAACGATTTTAGTCATTGTAAAAAGTCTTATCAGATCGCCTACTTTTCTATGCGTTTAAGTCTTTTCATGTTAAAGACCCGTTTTATTTAGTTTGTTCAAATTTCACGGGGAGATTTTTTCGTTTTTAATTTACATAAATCGTTATTTAAAATTTTTCCCTATTTAATTTATAATTTTCCTCTAAAAATTGGCATTAGACAAAACGAAAATCTTAAGTTTAAAACAAATGTCCATGGCGTGGCCGGCAAAATTAAAAAAAAAAAGTTTTATTTTTAACGTCTTGTTGCCCCAGATTTGCACAAAAACAACTATTATAATTTCACACTAATGATTTTGAACTAAGTTAATAAAAATAAAACGTAATATTTTTCTCTAAATGGAAGTGCTGATGAATGGGCCCTAATTTTTAATGATCTTGTACTTTACCCATGAGTATAATCTGAATATCACGAATAAATTACTAATACTTCTCAATGAACTAATATAACAAATAGACATAATTTTGAATAAAATTGTTTGTTGCCCAAGGTTGCGTGTTATTAGAAATAAAAAAAATATATATATATATATCAGCAGGTGTTGCCAAGAGTATTTTTTAATTGGACTAACAGGAATAAGTTACTAATATTTCTAAAATNATATTATAATAATATATAATAATAATAATATGTTGCCGTTTTGGTGGCATATTGGGATTTATCTGTGTTGCCCAAATTTTTTTTTTCTTTTTTACTGGACTATCTGGAATAAGTTAATAACACTAATCAATTTTTTAAAATTATCTGTTAAATTTGTAGACATAATTTTTAACAGATCTGTTTTATGTTTGGTTGTTCATAAAAAAATGTTATCTATTAAATTGGGAATTACCTGTGTTGTCCAAAAGTCTTTTTTAATTAGATTATCACGAATAAGTTATTAATATTTTCTAAATCTTAAGAATGGGATGCCCAACATTGCTAGAGGAATTTTATTCTTGTATCATTTAAGGCTAATGTAAAATGTAGATCTAGTTTTTAACAGACCTGTGAAGGCCAGGATTGCTCTTTCAGAGAAAACATAACAAAATTTCAACTTTTGCCCATTAAATTGGCAATTATCACTGTTTTCCAAGAGTTATTCATTGAATGTCGAAAAAAAATTAGGAGAAAACATATTATTTATAGTTATATTACATATTTGTTAAACCAAATAAATCGGGAATTCACTTTATGGAAGATACAGGGCGTTGAAATCTACGTTAAAAATATACCATATGACCAGAGTGGTCCAAGGGTACTCATTTATTGATAAATTAATAATAAAATAAAATATGCCTAATTAGAGTACATTTTTGTAAAAAAAAGTTTAAAATACAATTCACTTTGGAGAATAAGAAATCTGGGCGTTTAAATGCAATATCATAAAATAGGACAAATTTTTGACTCAATTTTGTCCAAGAGGATTCTTAGAAAAGCATTTAGAAAAAAAAATTCTGAAAAAATCACTTTTATCTTTTCTTTAATTATTCATTTCTTTAAATTAATTTTAGAATTCGTTTGGAAAGTACAAAATTCAGGTTTAAATTTAAGTTTAAAAAATAAGGCATAATTTCGAATTGCCAGTGCTCTCCAAGTTTAAATATGTATTTATTGAAATATCACTAAATAACGACTTATGTATCAGCATTTTAAATTTTTATTAACTTTGTAGAAGAAAAAAATGTTTTGGTGTTCAGATCTTCACTTAATAAATTCACTATATTTAAATCTAAGAAAAAAAATAATATTACACATTTTCAACTGGCTAGAGTTGCCCAAGTTATTTATTGAAAAATCTTGAAATAATCGGTAATATTTTTCAGTATATTCAATTTTTGTTAAAGCGTAAAAATTTGTTTTTAAGTGCATGTATATAATATTCCCCCCGAAATAGTACATTTTTATTAGAACAGTTCTTATATCAAAAATTTGCCGGCTTTGCTCCGTAGAGACGGGCGGGGTTAGATATGCTAACTGTAAAATCAAAAAATTAACTAAATAGGGAGTATTGTGAAATAATAAGGAAGTAAGACCTATGTCTGTGTCTCCCTATCAACTAACTGGCTAGTAGTGTCAACCTTTTACACATAATAATTTCGTCAGGCCAATTAATCGTTTAATTAACAAATCGTAAGTAAATAGTAAAAAATGTTTACATACTCTAAAAGAACGTATGTATTACTAAGGAAACTAAAATACAAAACAACGATAACTTAATTTTCTTCGTGTAACGCTATAACAAATTGAGATCTTACAGACTAAATGAACCTTATCTTAAAATCTAAACAAACTTTATTACAAGCTAAACTTTCTGAGAATAGTGTCCATCTATCTACTTTTCTTAATTCCGACGGTTTTGAAAATTCCCGATTCTAGGAAATTGTGGAGCACCTTCTCCAAAGTCGGGTGGGTCCATTGCCTTAGTTAATGAAGGGAATTAATTATATTCTAAAGATGAGGCCAGGCTGTAGAGGTATCCGCATCGTCGAACTCACTTGTCTCCTCCACTAGTTCTCTGTCCCGACACCCTCACGTACACTAATCTTAAGCCTATCCTAAGCCGTATTAATTGGAGATTGACACACAGCCACTTTAGTTCAGGAGGCACTATAATTTAGGAGTTATAGCCGGTTAAATAATAATACATACATACATACATACATATATTGTTAAGAACGTAACAGTGTTGCCAAAGTTCTTTATATATAGAAAACCCTTTTTTAATAATAAAAATAATGTAACAGAGTTAAAGAAAAAAATCCGTTTAAAAATTTTTGAAAATTTGGAAATAATTTTTGGCCTTACATCCCAAAATTTGGATTGATTTTTAGTACTCATTCATTGAGAGATTTAAAAAAAATAATATTATTCCTCAGTACATAAAAATACTTAGTTTGTTCGCTTAACTTGACTCACTTTGAAGAATAAAAAAAGAAAAACTTTGAAAAGTGTGAAAATTAGTCCTGATTTGTAAGTGCTGTTTGTAAGTGTTGCCAAAGTGTATTTAATTACAGAAAAGGTTCGAAGTAGAAAATGAGGACAAAGAACGGCAAACAATTTAAATCAAAATAGTTAACAATTTAAAACTATTAAAGAAAATTTCTTTTTTGAATCGGGTATTCACTTCCAAAAAAGGAAATAATTCTGCCCTTTTTCAAACAGAGTTCAAACGGAAAAAAGTAATTTGCATTAACTCACAGTATTACATATTTATTAGTTGAATAACTTCTTTATGTTTCTGGCATTTCAATTTAAATTTAAAAAAATCTGTTTTGTCTTCTAAGGAAAATTAAGTTTTTATTTATTCAGTGTAGAAGAAAGGTTCTTAATTATCGAATTATTTTAAAATAGTAATGATTAAAAAAATAATAATAGGAATACAATTGTTGTGTGCTCAATGATCTTCCAACAGTAATCATTTTTATCCGTGAAAAACTGTTGTGATGTCAAATTTTAAGGGTGAATTTTTACAACATACATAACGTTAAGCAATTTTTTTTAAAGCGTTAAAACAATTAAGATTTCATCTCCAATGATACTTATTTACACAGTTAGAAATTTGTTTAAAAAGTAATTTTTTAGGGATCGTAATAATCAAGGGAAATAGTATTTTTTTTTTCCAGTGAAAAGTTGCAATGACCCAGTGCTGTCCAAGTTAAACTGATTTATCGCAGTTCTCTCTAGGAGATGAAAACTCCGTTTTTGATTAATCAAAGGGACGGGCACCATTTCTGTTGATAAAGATTTTTCGAATGGTAAATTCCGTAATGATGAATTTGTAAATAATTGAACAATGGCAACAAATTAGCCTCGACGAAATGAATAAATGTTCTCAATATTGACCTTTGGACGGTTTAAAAGAAGGAACAACAGAGTCGAGCGAAATTTACAGGGCAAATTTACATTTTGTTGTTTCTTTTAACTTTTGAATACAAAGTATATATGAATAAACTAAAATTTTTGAGAGGACTTACAAAAAGGGGGAAAAGTATTTATTTATTATCACTGATTTATTCGACATCGTGCAGTATTGTTTTTATGCCTTTTTGCAAGGTTAACGCTTTTGCCAGCTTATTATTTAAATTTTTTCGGTTTCTAAAGTCAATATTTAGAACCTTGGGTCTATCTCTGACAAACACACACGCACACACGCACGCGCACACAGAGAGAGAGGGAGAGGGGGAGAGAGAGAGTGAGAGAGAGAGAGAGAGAGAGAGAGAGAGAGAGAGACCATTTGAAAACTTCATTAATAAAATGGACTTCAATCTATTTATAGACTAGAATAAACGGGAAAAAAATCAATGTAAAACGAATGTTTATTTGCCAGTTGTAAATATATTGTAAATACTTTTACCAGCAATCAGTAATGGGAGCAGGTGTAAATAA